AGCACTGATTGGTGCATTTACAAACCTTGAGCTAGACACGGAGTGCTGATTGGTGTGTTTACAAACCTTGAGCTAGACACAGATTGCTGATTGGTGCATTTACAATCCTTCAGCTAGACACAAAAGTTCTCCACCTCCCCACTAGATTAGCTAGACACAGAGCACTGACTGGTGTGTTTATAAACCTTCAGCTAGACACAGAGTGCTGATTGGTGCATATACAATCCTCCAGCTAGACATAAAAGTTCTTCAAGTACCCACCCAGGTGACTTTGCCTAGTGGATCCCGTGCCAGGACCATGGGCAGAGTCACCCGCTAGTCCTGCCCCACACCACTGCACTCTTCAGCCCTTGGGCAGTGGATGGGATGGGGCACCACAGAGCAGGGGGTGGCGCCCGTCGGAGAGGCTCGGTAGTGCTGGAACCCACTGCCCGGGGGTTCAGGCATGGCGAGCTGCAGGTCCTGAACCCTGCCCCACCAGGAGGCGGTTGAGGCCCGGTGAGAATTGGAGCGCAGCAGGCAGGCAGTGTTGGGGGACCCGGCGCCCCCTCCACAGCTGCTGGCCCGGGTCCTAAGCCCCTCACTGCCCGTGGCCAGTGGCGCTGGCCAGCTGCAACGAGTGCGGGGCCTCCTGAGCCTGCACCAACCCGGAACTTGTGCCAACCTGGAACTCGTGCTGGCCCAGGAGCGCTTGGCAGCCCCAGTTCCCGCCCACGCCTCTCCCTCCGCACCTCCGCACAAGCAGAGGGAGCTGGCTTGGGCCTCTGCCAGCCCAGAGAGGGGCTCCCACAGTGCAGCGGCAGGCTGAAGGGTTCCTCATGTGTGGGCAGAGTGAACGTCCTGGCCTGAGGAGGTGCTGAGAGTGAATGAGGGCTGCTAGCACATTGTCACCTCTCAACAGCTTACTGCAGCCTCAAACACCTGGGCTCAAGGAATCCTCCTGGCTCAGCCTCCTGAATAGCTAGGACTATAAGTGTGCTGCTACAACTGGATGGTGTTTTAATTTTTATTGTGTAGAGACAGGGTCTCGCTATGTTGCCCAGGCTGGTCTCGAACTCCTGGGTTCAAGTGATCCTCTGTTCAAGTGATCCTCCCACCTTGGTTTCCCAAAGTGTTAGGACTATAGGCATGAGCCACCACAGCCAGCCCTAATCTCTATCTTTTAACTGGATGATTTACTCCATTTAGTTTTATAGTAATTACTGATATACTGATGCAATAACATTATTCTATCATGTTATTTTGTGCTATTTGTCCTGACTTTTTCATGAGTTTTTCCCTCTTCTTTATTGCCTTCTTTTGGATTGATTTCTTCCCCTTCCCTTCTTTGTCTCTCTACTAGTTTGGAATTTCTGGAGTGTCACCTAAAAGAGTAGAGAAAGGTGATATTTCTATGTAGCATGCATATTTGAACTTTTCAACATGAAATTAATGTCTTTATCTTTCCCCATGGAAAAATTACCACTGTTACCCCCTCTAAATTATATCCTCTTGTCATGTATTTATCTTTTCTTTTAACCCCACAAGACATAATAGTAATAGGATAATTACAACTATTATTACTTTATAGAATTAATATCTTTTTTTTTTTCCTTTGAGATGAAGTCTTACTCTGTTGCCCAGGCTGGAGTGCAGTGGCACGATCTCAGCTCACTGCAACATCCACCTCCTGGGTTCAAGTAATTCTCCCACCTTAGCCTCCCGAGTAGCTGGGATTACAGGTGCCCATCACTACACCTGGCTAATTTTTGTGTCTTTAGTAGAGACAGGGCTTTGCCATGTTGGCCAGGCTCATCTCAAACCCCTGACCTCAGGTGATCCACCTGCGTCAGCCTCTGAAAGTGCTGGGATTATAGGCGTGAGCCACCACGCCTGGCTGTTGTGTGTTTTATGATTTTTAAATGAGTGGATATACTCCTTGGACATTTATATACTTTTTGTTTGTTTGTTTTTGAGACAGAGTCTTGCTCTTTTGCTAGGCTGGAGTGCAGTGGCGTGATCTTGGCTCACTGCAACCTCCGACTCCTTGTTTAAGTGATTCTCCTGCTGCAGCAGCTAGAATTACAGGCACATGCCACCACACCCAGCTAATTTTTTGTATTTTTAGTAGAGATGGGGTTTCTCACCATGTGGGCCAGGATGGTTTCAATCTCCTGACCTCATGATTCGCCCACCTCGGCCTCCAAAAGTGCTGGGATTACAGGCATGAGCCATTGCACCTGGCCTATAGAATTATTTTAAGGCCTAAGTTAAAGGTGTGTGCCTACAGAGAACATATGTATTTAAATTTGCCAGTTTGCAGAGGGCACCATGTACTTAAACAACATTACACGAAATTCTTAGTTTGAGATTGTTGTATTACCCAGGTAGTACGAATTCAGGCTGTAAATTCCCTTGAGGATCACCTTGAGGATTATCTAAAATTTCAGGGGAGATTGTAGTTTTCCTCCCTTAGTCAGTGTTAAGGTTTGAGAAAGGCATTTTCCTTGCCATTTCCTATGGAGTGGTGCAGTGGGAGTTAAGGGGGAGGGGCTATTTCCAGTTCAACCTGACACTGACTTTTAAGTCCTTTGGGGTTCCAGCTCTAGTTGGATGGTATATTAAACTGCATACCTCGGATAGACCTTGGACATTGTCTCCTGTCCCCGTGACCCTAAAAACGGTGAAACAAAAGCTCAAGTTCACCAAGTTCCGCAAATGCCCTCAAGTTAAAACTTTACTTCTGTCCACCTTCCTCTCTGGGTTCCTACTTTCACATAGTTTTGTCTTTTGAGTATTTCCAATTCTTTTTAAGCTTTGGCCAGAAGTTTTAGTTGTCTGTAGTTACAGTGGGTGTCTAGTGTACCATACCACTGAAACAGAAGCCTGGTACTTTTACAATAATAAAAACATGTCTATGTGGTTTTTTTTTTAAATTTTTAATTTATTTATTTACTTTTTTTTTGAGATGGAGTCTCATTCTGTCGCCCAGGCTGGATGGAATGCAGTGGCGCGATCTTGGCTCACTGCAACCTCGGCCTCCCGGGTTCAAGTGATTTTCCTGCCTCAGCCTCCCGAGTAGCTGGGATTACAGACACATGCCACCATGACTGGCTAAATTTTGTATTTTTGGTAGAGACAGGGTTTCACCATTTGGTCAGGCTGGTCTCAAACTCCTGAGCTCAGGTGATCTGCCCACCTTGTCCTCCCAAAGTGCTGGGATTACAAGCGTTGGGCCACTGCGGCCAGCCAAACATATCTATGTTTTAATTTTTTATGATTATTTTATATTATCCCTTCCCCACACATGAAATAACTTCTTTCCAAGTGACTTATGAGGTTGTCAACTTTTCATAAAGCCTTGGAACAAAGTGGGCAGAAAAATTATAAATAAAAAGTCTTGTCTAGGGTACTACAGGTCTGTCTTATTCCTAAATTAGAATCAGGTTATGCCAGTTTTTTATAACATACCATTTATAATTGGGTATGTTAAAGAATGTATTAGAAATCCCATAGTAACCTCATTACTCTTTACCCATGGATTCCAAGGATATCTTACAATAAATCTCTGGGATACCTTATGCTACAGAGCAACTAAAGTCCAGCTTTAGAGCACAAGGGAAATGCAGGATATTGGGTCCTGGAAACTACAAAAACCACCAAACTCTGCTTTAGGGCTAAAACTTTCTTTAATCAATCTGTCATATTTATTGATAAACTAGAAAATGTGGCCAGGTGCAGTGGCTCACGCCTGTAATCCCAACAGTTTGGGAGGCCAAGATGGGTGGATCACGAGGTCAGGAGATCGAGACCATCCTGGCTAACAGTTTAAACCCGTCTCTACTAAAAATACAAAAAATAGCTCCACGTGGTGGTGCGTGCCTGCAATCCCAGCTGCTTGGGAGGCCAAGGCAGGAGAATCGCTGGCACCCGGGAGACGGAGGTTGCAGTGAACTGAGATCACGCCACTGCACTCCAGCCTGGAGGACAGAGCGAGACTCCATCTCAAAAAAAAGTGCAGGTTCAAATTTCATTAAATTTTTTTTCCATGCCCCTTCTCTGCTAGTAGGATGATAGAGGATGAGTAAAATATCAAAGACAACTAAAATTTCCTAAACTAGATCCTCGGCTCCTAAAGAAGTATTAACCATGGAGTGCCGCCATCTTCTGAGGTTGGTGCTTCCCGGTATAGGCTCTTGGAACATTCTGGACTGTCTGACATTCCTCTTACTTGCTTTAGAACCGAAAGATGCTGCTGGGGGAAAAGGGAGCTAGGGAGAGGGAAGGGGAAAGATGTGGGATAGGCATAAACTGTGCTTTTGGGGAAAAAAAACCCAGTAATTTCCTTGATGGAGTTTGTGCTTGGCTTTAAAATGTAGAAAGCTTTTAGGAAGCTTGATAGAGCCTGTGCTTCTACCATTAGTGCTGCATTTGTTTGACTTAAGATTTCATTAACCTTCTTAAAATAGAGATACTTCTGGAACTCAAGTGGCTACTGAGCAGGGAATGGCAAATCAGTGACACTATAGGAAGTGGAGGGATTGTGGCAAACTAGAGAACACACCTTCCACAGGGGCAGCCACTGCTCGGCTGGGCCCGCTGTTCATCTGCAGGGACGTGCATCTTGAGATTATTTCCGAAGTCAGGACTCAGCATTTTTATGAGAAATGTCATGATTTTTAAGGTCTTAACAAGTTATCCCACATTAAAAAATAATAATAAGCCGGGCTGGGCGCGGTGGCTCCCGCCTGTAATCCCAACACTTTGGGAGGCTGAGGTGGGTGGATCATGAGGTCAGGCGTTGGAGGCCATTATGGCCAACATGGTGAAACCCTGTCTCTACTTAACACACAACAATTAGCTGGGTGTGGTGGCGGGAGCCTGTAATCCCAGCTCCTTGGGAGGCCGAGGCAGGAGGATTTCTTGAACCTGGGAGGTGGAGGAGGTTGCCGTGAGCAGAGATCGTGCCCAGCCTGGGCAACAGTGCGAGGCTCCATCTCAAACACACACACACACACACACACACACACACAAAAAAAAAAAAAAACGACAGAGAAGGCCAAACAAAGCACATCTGTGGACCGGATGCCTCCATGCCCACCGGTTTGCGACCTTTGTGTTGGGCTCTTCTGTTCACCAGACACCCTGCCCTGCGAGAATGTTTCTCATCCTCTGCTGGAGCGGGTTTGCAGGCACAGGGAGGAGAGGGAGAGAAGAAATGCAGGGACACTTATGCAGAACCGTGAGTGGCCAGAGAGGAGAAGGAGGGTGAGTGGAGCAAAGAAGCCATGACAACTTCATAATTCTGAGTGGACTGGGCAGTGGCCAGAAATCCTGGTGGTGGATATGCTGCCTTTCCAACAGGTGAATATGAAAGAACAAGTCAAGCCCTGTTCAGGATGCTGTTAATTCCAGATGTGAACTTTTTGAGTCATTCTTTCCATGTGGAATTCAAAGGAGAATGTAAAAAGAATTTCAGGAGGAAAGTGCAATATCCCTGAAAGGTAACAAAGTTCATAACAGTTATTTACATGCAACATTCTCTAGTCATTGATTAAATAGATCACTACAGACTTGCATGAGGCAACATTCCTTAGTCTTATTTGCCACAATATATTTAAAAATACTTGCTTACACATCACTTTAGCTTGTTTAGATGGACTTGTCACCAAGCTCTGAACTGGGATTTCACTGTGTTGCATTCATGCTGCTCACGAGACACAGGTGGGCAGCAAATGAGATTATTCCTCCATTCCCCATGGATTGGAAATGTTGCCACTTGTTTATGAGCCCACTGCAGTATCTCCTTCTCCCTTTTCCCAAAGGACAGCCTTTCCTGCCTCAGGGAAGAAGAGAGAGACAGACTACAGTGATGGAGACCCACTGGATGTGCACAAGAGGCTGTCGTCCAGTGCTGGAGAGGACCGAGCCGTGCTGCTGGGGTTTGCCATGATGGGCTTCTCAGTCCTAATGTTCTTCTTGCTTGGAACAACCATTCTAAAGCCTTTTATGCTCAGGTAAGAAACAGAGGAAGGAAATCTAGAGTTTCCGATTCAGATAAGATCCAGGCACAACGGTAAAGGAGGAGAGGCTGGCTTTGGTTTCTCAATCTGTGACTCTCTGACGTGGTCTAGAAAAAGAAAAACGCAATTCCTCTTCCTCTCTCAGTGCTGGGGGCAGCTGGGTGTGGCGGAAGAGGTGGTGAGAAGGTCAAAGATATTCCCCTGCACTGCCTCCTCCGTTCTCATAATCTATATATACCTCCAAACATGTAATCCACAAATTATAGTTTATTCATTTAGGTCATAAATCCTCACCTTAAAATGTTAGTATTCCAGGAGAGAGTTAAACCTTGTATGCAAGCAAAATAAAAGTTTTTTGAGTCTGATTTTTTGAGTTTGACAGTGTCTACCTGGCACATAGTAGTTGCTCAATACATATTCGTTTCCTTCGTTTTCTTTTAATTAGGTTCTTTATTCAGTGCATGTAGTGATACAGTTGACCCTTGAACAACATGGGTTTGAACTTCGAGAATTCACTTATAAATGAATTTTCTTCTGTGCGTGCCACCCCGAGACAGTAAGACCAATCCCTCCTCTTTCTCCTCCTCCTCAGCCTACTCAACATGAAGAGGATGATGATCCACTTCCATTTAGTGAACAGTAAACATGTTTTCTCTTCCTTATGATTTTTTTCTTCAACTTTTATTTTAAGTTCTGGGGAACATGTGCAGAATGTGCAGGTTTGTTATAAAGGTAAACGTGTGCCATGGTGGTTTGCAGCACATATCAACCCATCACCTGGGTATTAAGCCCAGCATGCGTTAGCTATTCTTCCTGATGCTCTCCCTCCCCCTGCCCACTGAGAGGCCCCAGTATGTGTAGCTCCCCGCTATGTGTCCATGTGTTCTTATCATTCAGTTCCCACTAAGTGAGAACATTCAGTGTTCGGTTCTCTGTTTCTGCATTAGTTTGCTGAGAATAATGGCTTCCAGCTTCATTTCATACATGTTCCCGCAAATGACATGATCTTGTTCTTCCTTATGATTTTCTTTTCTTTTCTTTTTTCTGAGACAGAGTCTTGCTCTGTTGCCCGGCTGGAGTGCAATGGCACGATCTTGGCTCACCGCAACTTCCGCCTCCTGAGTTCAAGCAATTCTCCTGCCTCAGCCTCCTGAGTAGCTGGGACTGCAGGCACCTGCCACCGCACCCACTAATTTTTGTATTTTTAGTAGAGATGGGGTTTCATCATGTTGGCCAGGCTGGTCTTGAACTCCTGACCTTGTGATCTGCCTGCCTCGGCCTCCCAAAGTGCCGGGATTACAGGCGTGAGCCACCATGCCTGGCCATGATTTTCTTAATAACATTTTCTTTTCTCTAGCTTATTTATTTGTTTATTTTTTAGAGAAGGGGTCTTGCTCTGTCACGCTGGAGTGCAGTGGTATGATCATAGCTCATTGCAGTCTTGAACTCCTGGGCTCAAGCAATCTTCCCATCTCAGCTTCCTGAGTCAGTGGGATTACAGGTATGAGCTACTGTGCCTGGCTATTCTAGCTTATTTTATTGTAAGAATTCAGTATATAACACATATAAACACAACATATGTCTTAATCAACTATTTATTGGTAAAGCTTCCTGTCAACAGTAGGCTATTAGTAGTTAAGGTTGTTTTTTTTTTTTTTTTTTGTTTTTTTTTTTTGGTTTTTTTGATGCACGGTCTCACTCTGTCACCCAGGCTGAAGTACAGTGGTGCAATCATGGCTCACTGCAGCCTAGACCACCTGGGCTCAGGCGATCCTCCTGCCTCAGCCTCCCAAGTAGCTGGGACCACAGGTGTGTGCCACCACACTTGGCTAATTTTTAAAGTATTTGTAGAGATGGGGTCCCCCTATGTTGCGCAGGCTGGTCGTGACCTCCTAGGCTCAAGTCATCCTTCCACCTTTGCCTCCCAAAGTGCTGGAATTATAGGCATGAGCCACTATGCCTGACCAGTAGTTAAGTTTTTGAGGAGTCAAAAGTTACATGCAGATTTTCGACTGCAGGGTTGGGGGTGTGATGTTGGCATCCCTAAACTCTGAATTGTTCAAGGGTCAACTTTAGTTGCTACTTATTAAGTATATGCTGTATGCTCAGTACATACTATATTTTATCCTACTTAAACCTACAGCAGCCCATGATAGAAGTGCTGAGGCTCAGAAAGGCCAAGTAACTTGCCCAAGTTCACATAGCCAGTAAATAATATGCCTGTCATTCTGACATAAGACTTGCTTCTTAATACCTAAATGAAGTTTGCTGAAATAAGGGGAATAGGGGTTCTGATTAGGGAAGGGGAGGAGCTATTTAATTTTGTAGGATGGCCCATACAACATATGGTACTTTGGGGCCAGGTCAGTTCAGGGTAAAAGGAAGGCAAGGGGTGCTTTTTGGACAGTGCTTTATTTTTGAACAGCCCCCACTTTTGTTTTTGACAGCCAAAGAGCAACAGAAGGCCCAGGGGGAGTAGAAGAGGAAGGCCTAGGAGTTCAGTGAGGGAAAGGGGTCATAAAAAGGAAGAGAGTGGTCTACTTCTGTTATTTATGATTCATCTCCTGCCATTCCTAGGTTACCATTGTTAGGGGAAAGATACAGAGGTCACCATTTACTACAGCATACAGTGCCACTATTGGAAGAATTCCAGAAGAACCTTCTCTCTGGTATTAGCACTAGGAGAAGTTGTGCTGCTCCTGATCAAGCAGCTTACTTTCATTTAATGGACACCAGGAATCTTGTATCTGGTTGTATTTCCTTCATTGCTTTGGCTGCTAGGAAGCCCAGAGGCAAATTTGTAGCTCAGTTCTCATAACTACAAGGGATCTTATGGTCTGCAGGTTACATGTTTGTACCTCACTTTTTTTTAAACTTTTTTTTTTGAGATGGGATCTCACTATGTTGTCCAGGCTAGTCTCAAACTCCTAGGCTCAAGCAATTCTCCTGTCTTGGCTGTACCTCACTTCTGACTTCAATCTGTCTTTTTTTCCTCTTTTTCATTTACTCCTTTTCCCCTCATCCTTTATATATATATATATATATCTGCATTACATGTCTATACAATGTGATTGAATGTTTGAATGTATGGGAATGTTGAGTAAATGTGCATGTGTGTGCACAGGCAGATCAGATTATTTTTAAAAATGTGACATATTTGGGAGATGGCTTGAGGGTACCTTCTGCAAGCTGGTACCAAACTGTTGCTCATAATTAAGTTTCACTTTTCTAAGCATTCCTGGAAATTATTTGGTTAAATTAAGTGAGTGCCTAAGAGTGGTGAGTTCTAATCTCTCTCAACTTACGTCTTGTGCCATCTCAGAGAGTAGGTTTGTTCCATAAAGGGTGGTATTAAGTTAAAAAGGCCTGGGCAGCTCATACCTATCCTACTCCCTCAGCCTCTCATCTCTCAGTCAAATGATGAATTTTGTCACAGCTGTAGCCAAATACACACCTGATGCTATTGAAGGAACATGCTCATTTTTGAGCCCTGAATACATCCCTGGTTCCACCTGAAAGGCTCTGACTGGGGCCTTGTGCAAGGACAGCATGTCCTACTCTATTTTGGAGCTTTCTAAAATCTTCAAGGAAAATTGAAATCATACTCAGTTCAGTACTTGGTCAAGATTTAGAGAGCTCAAGTTCTAACAGATAAAAAGGTAACTCTAAATTATTATTTCAAGATGCCTAGTTAAAATAAGTATATAAATTAATTTAGTGAAAAAGCAGACCAGTGCTAAATCTATGAAAGAATCTTATTTTCCATTTTTGTATTTTCACTTGCCCAATATTTTTTCTTAGGCCACATCTAGTGGTTTTTATACCCCGGACCTTGAGGTTATGTTAAACTGCATGGCGTGTCTCAAGTTTGTTGTATTAATAAGGGAGAATGATTATTTTGGTCAAAGAGATTAATGAGAGTGCATTATGAACCTAGCTAAATATTGCCTTTAAAACATTCTTTCTTTTTTTTTTTTTTTTGAGGGGGGGTAGGACAGAGTCTGGCTCTGTTGCCCAGGCTGGAGTGCAGTGGCACAATCTTGGCTCACTGCAACCTCTGCCTCCCGGGTTTAAGCAATTCTCCTGCCTCAGCCTCCCGAGTATCTGGGATTACAGGTGCCCGCCACCACACCCAGCTAATTTTTGTATTTTCAGTGAAGATGTGGTTTTGCCATGTTGGCCAGGCTAGTCTCAAACTCCTGGCCTCAAGTGATCCGCCCACCTCGGCCTCCCAAAGTGCTGGGATTATAGGCATGAGCCACTGTGCCTGGCCCTGCTTTTCAAACATTCTGACTTTAGAGCTTGCTAATCTGACTTATTATGTTTAAGGAAGCAGTAAGTAAACACAGGGGTCCCCCTACATGTGAGTGTGAGGGTATATAAAGAGCCGGTCCCATACATTAAATCAAAACATTTCCTCTTCCCCTCGTTTACTTTGTCTTGGACTTGTTTTCAAATTATTTCATACATATACACATGTCCTTTCTTTTCAACATCACCACAAGATCTTCATGGCAGGAATTTTGTTTGTAATTTCTCATAGCACCTAGGATGTTTTGCATATGTAGTACGTGTGGAAATTCTCAATAAATTTTTTCCAAGTAGAATTTAATTCAGGCAGGCCAGGAGTGGTGGCTCATGCCTGTAATCCCAGCACTTTGGGAGGCCAAGGCGGGAGGATCACGAGGTCAGGAATTCAAGACCAGCCTGGCCAATGTGGTGAAACCCCATCTCTACTAAAAATACAAAAAATTAGCTGGGCATGATGGTGCACACCTGTAATCCCAGCTACTCAGGAGGCTGAGGCAGGAGAATCACTTGAAACCAGAAGGTGGAGGTTGCAGTGAGCCGAGATCGTGCCATTCCAGCCTGGGCAACAAGAGCGAAACTCCGTCCCCACCTCCAAAAAAAAAATATAATTCAGTACAGCACTTACTGAACATCTACTCAGTGAGAGGCATTCTGTTTCATGCTTTGAGGAACACACAGATGAACTGGACGTAGCTCCTGACCTCAAGGAACTTAACTGATAGCAAAAATATTGTAAGTATTCTACGAGAGATTCCACGTATGATTTGCACTTGCCTCTTTGGAAGTAGTGGGTATGTGGAATTGTACCTTGTTGCTAGCAATTGTATAGGCTATGTTGACCAACGGCCCCGTAGTTGGACTCCTTCCAAAGGCACATTTTCATCAGGACAAGCCAGTGCATCTTGAGATGATGAAGCATGAGAGATGATGAGATTCCTGAGTGAGTGTGAATCTTGGTGGTTACAGTATTATGGTAATGCTAACACTGTTTACACTGTGCTTCTCCAAATACCTGCATCTTAAATACTATTGAATATAAAGATTCCTGGGCCTCAAGTCAGACCTACCAAACCAGAATCTCTGGAATGAAGCGCTGGAATCCACAGTTTAACAAATTCTTCATTCTAACAAACTCACAGGTGATTCTGAAGTTTGAAAACCATTGTTACAGTGAGAAATATGCCAGTAGGATCATCAGAAGTGAGGTGGAACTTGGGACTTCGCGGCTCTTTACCCCAACTCTTTGTCTTCTGTGCTCCCTGATTATTAGGTGCCTGCTGTAAGGATCCTGTGCCACCTCAAAATAGACAAATGCCTTGTTCACAGATGCCTTGGGCATTGTATACATAAGCTCATAACCACACTGAAATGTAGAACGAAATTTTCTAGTAAGTGAAGAACATTTATTTTTTTCAAATTGAAGTGCTCAGAGAGAAGAATCGACCTGCACTGCCATCCACACAGATATCATGGACCACTGGCTGGACTGTACCTTCACCTGTGGTGTGCACTGCCGCGGTCAGGGGAAGTACCCGTGTCTTCAGGTGTTGGTGAACCTCACCCATTCAGGTCAGAAAGCTCTCCTACATTATAATGAAGAGGCTGTCCAGATAAATCCCAAGGTATTGTAAAGTTTAAAGAGTTCTTATGACAGCAACCCTTCCCTGCCAGACTGTCCCTAGCAGGGTACATAAATAACCCAGGGCTGTCTTTAGGGATAGATCTGTTTTATTTTTTTTTAGTAAATATTTTTATAGTGATCAAATCAGGATAAATGAAGCTTTCTTCTTGGTGGAGAAATGGGGTATATAGAAAGGAGATAAATTATTCCAATTTCACAATTTGGTGTCTGGAATTTATACGCTAAGCCAATGAGTAGTCATTTGTGGGGAGTGTTTCTTTTGGAGATTCCACTCCCCATCATATCAAAATGCTACAGTGTACTCACAGTCTCCCTTGAATCAAGCGAGTAATTTTTCTTATCAAATAAATGTAAAGATTATCATTTTTAATAAATTACATAATGAGTTCTTATGATTTAACAAATTATAGAAATGATCCCTGAAAGTATAGTCTTTCATATGATTTAAAATTTGTATTTATACCTAACTATAAAAAGTTGAGTTGTGTTAGATTAGTTGACGTGTTACACTTTATTGTCTTTAAGCATCAATTTCAATCTGATGACTTTTGTTTTCTGTTTTGGATGCAATGATTTTTAACATTTCAAACATTTTGTAGGCCTTTAGCACAGTACCTCAAGTACCTAATGGATATGGTAATAAACCTCAAGCTTTTTTGAAAAAAGTCACCAGCTGACAGAGCTCCCTTCTCCACTGGTTCTGTCTCTCAGAAACCAAAGTCCAGGTGGGGCTCCCTCTCTGTGAGTCTAGAGCAAAAGCCTCCATGTGCTTTTCTTCAGGGTAATATTTTGCTACAGGAGATCAAGACAGAGACAACAGAGACATTACTAGGCGTTGAAAGTTTATAGGCTCAATACATTTTTGTTCAGTGGACAAATGGATTCATACTGTCCAAGAGACCAAGAACCTGCATGTGGGGAGGAGTCATATTCCTTATGAAGTTGGTCACTGACTCTCCTGCAATGTCATATAAACTAAGAATTCCCTTCCACATCCTTGCTTAATGACTGGAAATGGCCATTTCACTGTGGCCCTCCAATCAACCTTTTCCCATGAGCTATGTAATATTTTACCACCTTCTAAGATTGAAACTGCCCACTAATAACTTCAACCTGAAGCTATTTCATAATAAAAACTGTTAAGTATTTGGTATTGGTGACAGTGCCTTTATCTTTTTCCCTCCTCCATATTCCTAGTGCTTTTACACACCTAAGTGCCACCAAGATAGAAATGATTTGCTCAACAGTGCTCTGGACATAAAGGAATTCTTCGATCACAAAAATGGAACCCCCTTTTCATGCTTCTACAGTCCAGACAGCCAATCTGAAGATGTCATTCTTATAAAAAAGTATGACCAAATGGCTATCTTCCACTGTTTATTTTGGCCTTCACTGACTCTGCTAGGTGGTGCCCTGATTGTTGGCATGGTGAGATTAACACAACATCTGTCCTTACTGTGTGAAAAATATAGCACTGTAGTCAGAGATGAGGTAGGTGGAAAATTACCGTATATAGAACAGCATCAGTTCAAACTGTGGAGTATGAGGAGGAGCAAAGGAAGGAGCAGAGAAATCTTTAGACTGTGGCCAAATTAAAGTGCTGGCCTTCAGATGTCTGTGATTTCTGCAACTGAGGACCTAATTATGCCCGTCTGCAAACTAACAATGTAAAAGGTAATAATTAAAGTTAAGTATCATATTTTCATGTGGGAAAAAAATTTAAAAGCCTCATTTTGTATTCTATTTATTTCTATAAATACATACAAATTCACTATCTTTTCTAATCCCAATCTCTTTCCAAATGAGCTAAGGAAGCACTTTTTTTTCCTGTGTAGCAAAATGAGTTCAAGATATTCTTTACCTAATTTCAGCTCTAGCTAGAACCAGTCAATATGGAAATAAACAATGACGGTATCTAACCTACCGAACACTGAACCATCAGCCTAACTATGCAATATAGTCACACTAAAATATTTTTCATAAAAAAGTTCTTAACAGTTTGTTCACTATACGAAGATAAAAATCTGGTAGAAAACTTAAGAAAACGTGGACCTAACATATTAATTATAGTTTTTTTCTTTTCTTTTTCCTTTTTGAGATGGAATTTTGCTCTTGTTGCCCAGCCTGGAGTGCAGTGATGTGATCTGGGCTCACTGCGACCTCTGCCTCCTGGGTTCCAGCAGTTCTCCTGCTTCAGCCTCCCAAGTAGCTGGGATTACAGGCGTGTGCCACCCGCCCAGCTAATTTTTGTATTTTTAGCATAGACAGGGTTTCACTATGTTGGTCAGGCTGGTCTTGCCTGACCTCAGGTGATTTGCCCGCCTCAGCCTCCCAAAGTGCTGGGATTACAGGCATGAGCCACTGCACCCAGCCTTGGTTTGTTCTTTACCAGTCTACACAGCAGAGGAAAGCTGCTGCCTAGAAAATTCACTGAGTTTAGAGTTACTAGTATTTAACCTTGGCATGTACCATGTAATTTTTCTTTCAGTAACATTTTTCTAGTTAATTATGCTTTTCATAAGCTCATTTCACTCTGTGTACTTTCTGGTGGGAAAAATGGGCCAGAAATATGAAGAAGCTATACTGGATTTCAACATTCATCTCAGATGATCCACATCGTATTAGGTTGGTGCAAAAGTAATTCCAGTTTTTGCCATTACTTTTAATGGAGAAAAACTGCAATTACTTTTGCATCAACCTAATAGCAAAGTCCCACAAGTTTAGTCAACAATTGTCTGTACTTTAATTGATGAATCAACCATGGTTATTAAGTGATGTCATAAGGCTCTCAACAAATGCTTTCCAGATTGGTTATGCCGAATCTATGAGTGGAAAAGAGAGTTTGGTCTGATTTTCCAAAGTGCCTCCAAGTATCTTTAAAATTTTATTATACTAAAAAATCTTCAATTATGGACAGTAGAATGAGACATTTGAAGCTACTTTTATATGTAGATGTAATAAAAAAACTGATTCTAAGTCAGTTTAATGCCTTTTAGCAATTTCAAGACACACATTACTAATTCAGCTGAATAGAGCAATATTGACTTGATTAGTAATGAATAATCTTGGTGTTTTCCTCTTTCAAGTGTGCAGTGGTGGAAAGAACATGTGTCTCAGATTAGGATTTATTTGACTTTGTAGGCCATAATTACAACTTTGGGCAAATCAGCTAACCGGTCTAAACCTCTCTTTTCTCATCTATAAAATGGGGATAACCTGTTCTTTCACGCAGTTATTTTATAGAAGCAGCAAAGTAGGGCATGTGAAACACTTTAGCATAGCTTCTAGCATCTAGTAGGGGCACTCAAAATGTTAGATAATTTATTTAAAAATCTGCTGGGTTGTAACATTCAGTGAGCCTTGGTACTTTTCATTGGACAGCTGGTATAGAGGCTAGGGATAGGGAACTGCAGTTCATTTTCCCTGCCCCTCACCCCAGTTCTCTTGGCTAACTGTGATATGCATTTAAGGCCCAGAACCTGCTGTTTAAAAGGTTGTGGTAAACTATTTTGTATACCAAAGACTTCTCTGTAATAAAATATATACGTACACATGAACATTTTATATGCATGCACATTTTAAATCATTCTGCAAATTGAGAGTCTATACTTTTCTTAAGGGCACATCCCTATTCCATTTCTTTGTAAATTTGACTTCTACCTAACAATATGCAATTATTGGGATTTTTTTTTTCCCTAAAAATTCAAAACTGCTAATTTAAAATGTAAAGTGTGTGTTTCAATTACCAGTTTTCTATTTAGATAGGAGCTACCTGATTCATTCCAGCAAAGAGAGGTATTATCCCTGGAGAACAAAGTCAATTCAAAATTATTTAAACCATTTGGCAAATAAATACAATTTAAGTAATTATTTGCTTAATTGCTTTACTAAGTTGTTAATGCCTATGTGCATTAGTGGTCAAAGCCCACACTTAACTTTTGCAATGTTTATGAGAACTGAAAGCAAAACCAGTTTGCTTCTGGCCTAACTTCATTTCTAGGTTCTGATCTTCAAAGGACTTGGAAAAAGTCCACTTACCTATTACATATACATACATACATTCATACATATATGTATATACATATATTTCTTAAAAGCATGTAATTCTTTATGCTTAAAGGAAGTAAATATTTAAACATACATTTCTTTAATATTCATCACTTTACTGGGGCAGAAAAATTGGCTTTTAAGGTATAATAGTTTCAGATTTTCAATCAAGTATTCTTAGTCATTACTGAAAAGAACTCAAATTCAGCTAAATTTTGATTATTAGCAGCACTGGCTTTTCAAAAGGAATGGCAAAAGAATTATCACAGTTTTTTGCTTATATAGTACACTAAGGATTGTTTGGACACAAGTCAAAGTAATTTTTCTTTTTTTTTAATAAACAGCGTGATGTTACAGACTGCAGAGTTAAAGAAAAGCAGACATTGACAGTTTCTGATGAGCACAAACAGTAAGTGCAGTCACAGGCCACACTTCTTGCTAGGAACAGCAAGACTGGGAAGAGGTCTTAAATTTAGTGGTACTGTTATTATTCTATATTCTCAATATAATAACACATGCATCTTGCTGTGTCAAATGCTTTTTGGGCCATCATTAAAAGGACATTAAAAACGTTTTTCTTCTAATGAATGCAGTATACCACAGGACTTCAATTCATTGAATGACAAAATATAGAGAAATAAACTTGCTACAATTAATGGGGCCAAAAGGGTGGTTCGAATTTCTTCCAGGTGAACATTTGACATGTTAGTAGTCTTCTTTTGGTAGTGCCACATTCCCCAAAGTATTAAAGTGTTATGCTCCAAAAGGGTATATTCTTTTAGATTTTATTCAACCCAATTAGGTCTGAAGACTGAATCACACTGAAACCATCAACTTCATTTGAAACTTGGGTTCCATAGCCAAAAACACTTTTGAAATCAGATGAAGGCCAAGTTCTCCAACCACTCTTAGGAACATAAATTACATCGAACAAGGGACTTTTAAAAGTGAAATAAAAACAAAATTAAATAAAAATGAAATAAATAGATAACGATTTTGGAAATTCATACTAGAATTAAGTTTAGTCTAATTATATTTTAATATGAAACAATGTAAGTTTGCTGCCTCCTTGCTAACCTAGAAAAACTGACAAAAATAAGAAAACCTAAAAGTATACACGGTTCTTGGCATAACCACAAAATTACTGTAGTGACAGATTAAATAGGTTGCAGATAATTCATAGACTTTAACTGGCTAACAAAATATATTTTGAAACCTTTTCTGTACTTACCTACATGAGGAGTGTAGTATACTGTTGGTAGAAAAATCATTTATCTAACTACTATATATGCACAAGGGACTAATTTTTTTTCTCCACTAAAACTCTTATATGTAGTTGTGTAAAAATTAAGTCAGAAAATTTCCTCATGGCTCACACCTGTCACTTTATGCTAACTAGCAAGGCTGGAATATTAACATACCTAAAATCAAGCAAAATAAATGGCGCTGCACTAATAAAAAGGAGGTGCAAAACCGTAAGTGGAATACATGAATGAAGTAAGTTTATTTAAAGACTAACATCCCAACTTGGGAAACTCCTAATAAATTCTAAACTCTTCAGAATTATAGAACCTTGATATTTCTTTACACCTTTTATAAAAGATGCCTTTTGACTAGGGCTAAGCAAGCAGTGTGTATACAGACAGAATTGTGTGCAAGTATACACACACCAAATGCACTAATAATGAAGAAAAGAGAACAAAATGAATTTCAAACGCCGAATTCGGGAACCTCCTCGAACTATTGCTTTTTTCAAATGGCTGGACCAACGATTAAACTTCAGCCAAGTTTTTTTCTTAAGGTCTTCCAAATCATTAAAAACAACGCATGCCAACTCTCACTTTATAAAGCTAAAATTCAGTGATCTGCACAATTTCTGAGCCTGAAGTATTGAATTGTGACTCATCTATTTTTCCCCCATTTTCCTTCTGAGGTAGAGTTACCAATCCAATTTTATCACGACCATAGATATTTTGAGCTAAACCCCATAATCTTTTCATAGAGTAAAAATAATTTTTATGAAAAAAGAAAACAGGCTTCCCAGGCCATGGCACATAGATATATTTACAATTTTTAATGTAATAATTAAAAATGGTATTGAGTTTGTATTTTAAAAAACAGCCCAGCTGTATTATTCTGTCACCAAGAATTATTAATTGAGGATGCTGTCAATGCTGAATTTTATAGTTCAGCTTCACAATCCCATCCATGATGAAGAGTTAATTCTCTTACGGTATACAATATACTCTCACAACTTTCAGCCTTCTCTTAGACATGCCCCAAATGAGCAGGATGGATATAAAGAATGTAATTCATTCAAACAGCTCCTCCCTGTTCTGCCCCCTCCCCTCACATTCCCCTCTTCTCAAAAACATCTGAAGTATGAAAGTTGTCTTTAAATAGTAAAGCACCACAATCTATTAACACCACATATTATCTTTAAACTTAAATATTTTAGTGATGTCTTGGACATCAAAATAATTTCTTAAGGTGGACTCTGAGTATGTGGGTCCAGCCCAGGTCTGCAGTTTGTGCAGACATAGAAAAAAGAGGAACTTTAAATATTCAGAAAAAGTTAACAGGCTAGCTTTAAAATACTGCTGGAAATTAAATTTCTTCAGAGTTGGCAAGCATGGGCTATTGATCAAAATATGAATTAAGCGGATTTACATCAAGAAAAAAATAAATCCATGTTATGTGCTGTGAAATTTCCATGATGCCTTTCAAATAGGCTGCTCACAATTTTTTTTTATAATTCCAAATCACTCGATTTTTGATGGAAAAAAGAATACAGATGGACTGTGTTTTACCTATGTGAAAATCACCAATCCATTTAAAATAAAATCCAAGAGGGCATATACAGTCTAATCAAGTCATCATTTTCCTGGTTAATAAGAACTACACTTTACACAAAATACTTTATCAGCAGCTGTTTTCATCAAAAAAATCAATAGTTTCACAGTTGAAAAAGTTACACATTAAAATATTTTACAATTCATTATATATTCACCAGGTTCCCATTTTCTAATAGGCTTTTAATATAAAGCAGAATAGAAGGGAAAAATCTCAAAGTTGATTACTTTGACACTAAGTTTTACATAGGACACTAAGAACCACAAAAAGCTTAGGTTCTGTTGTAAAATAGCAACCAAATTCCATTCTTCTTTTAAAAATCCAATTAGAAACATCTTTTTTAAAAAAACAAATTCCACAATAAGAGTAACAGATTTCAAATTAACAGTAGTCTAAAAATCTTCAAAATAAATGGTTTTGTATAGCTGAGAATATGGTAGAAAGTGAAAGCATAATTTTCGAACAGTCATTTCTTACTATAGTGTGTTTAAAATTATTTTTATTATTTTCTTTAGACTTTTTCTCAAAACAATTATTCAAGGAAATATTTCTTAAGTGGCCCAATAAAACTGCAGAGCCAACAGTCAGTTACACCATATTCAAGGACAAGGATAGTCAGCTATAGATAGGAACTGTCTAAACCGTGGGAACTGATCTCTGATACTGAAGTACCCAGAATTGGCTACATTATCGCTGACTTGAAACAGATCTTAGTCACCCATGTAGCATTTAATTCAATGTTTGGTTCTTTGCCTCATTTCTTTCTTAGGTCACAATCTATAGTCTTTATAGAATTTGTCTACATTTCTTCTAATATAATTTGGTTGTAATAACTTTTGAAAATAAATATAAATGATGAAATCGGCCATATGGTTTGTGCGTGTTAATAGTGGAGAGGTTCTGGGAGAAGGAGGGGAGACAAGTATCTGGACTGATGTGATAAAAATGTAAAAAATGGTATAAATTTTGTGCAAGGAGGCTCAAGGCATTTTTGGCACTCGGGTAAAACACAGTTCTCTGTTAAATCTTCAGTTTCTACCATCAAAGTTTCAGATTTGTACCATTTTACGAGTTTTCCTATAATTTAACCCTGATATTGAAAAGGCTGGGATGTTAGTATCAACTGCCTATATCTAAACAACACAAAATGTTAGTAAGTTTTAATAAGTTATGAAATCTTCTATAACTGCAAAATAATCTTTCTGGTTGCCTGCTTAAAACAGAGTTTAAATTCTGCTTAACTACTGCAAGACAGTTTGCAGAAGTAAGTTCCCTTAATCTTCAAATTTATTTTTCTTGTTGGCAATATTATATACATGCTTTAGTGAAATACCTAAATTTCCAATAATTATGCCCTTTAAGGGATCTAAAATAGCCAGATATTAAGAGTATTGGTATTAGAGTCCCTTGTTCACTACTCAAGACTTCAACTATAGGTAACAGATTTCATAAATGAATATTTTTAAAGTGATGTTGTTTTACTACAGTATACAATGTTCACTCTTTATAAAGTTGTTTTCCAATAATATGCCTAATATAAAAAACTGTCAATAATTATTGCACTTTTTTGATGTGGCACCTGAACATCTAAAGCTAATTTCCTAGGACATTAATCATTCATTTCAAATACAGAGTAAAATATCAGATTCTAGAATGATGACTAGCAGTAGCCTCTACATCTTGGGTTAATGTTTTTCAAAATGTTTAAGATATGTCCTGTGCTCAAATAGTATTTAATAAAGTTGGAGAGTTAACTCTGACTCTGACTACTTGGGAATGAGACATGATCTTAAAATGGTTTAATGTTCTACTTTGGAGATATGGATAAATAGTTTAAAAAGGTAAAAATTTCATGGTTTCTATTCCCCCATATTTTAAAGTATCATTCATGAGTATACTTCAGTAAAGGGGTTTAAGGAATCAGGAAGATAGTCTAAATTGTGTTAATTTTGGTAACTAATTTCATATGATTGAGACATTCTCAACTACAAAAGAGAATGGAAGACGGGGGATTCACATAAGAAATAAAAGGAAAGATGAAGTTTTATGTTTTCCTTAAGTAGTTATACACTGGGTATTGGCATAAATGGGATAGTGCCTGAGCCTCATCTACAGACCAAGAAGAAAGCTGACCATGCTGCTATGAACAATAAAAAATTTGGGGTGCAAAACAATGCATGACTATGGGACAGATCATGTAAATAAAGAATATATATTAATGATAGTTTCTATAATATAAATAGCCTTTAATAAAAAAAATAATCTTTTTAATAACATTAATACTTCTATTTTCTGGAAAACATGCATGAAAAATGTATTCAGTTCAACTGCAAAAGGAGAAAAAAATCAACTTAAGGTGAATACTGTACAATTCTGGAATAAGAACTATTCCTGTTCATTCTTTTTCTATGATTTTTTTTTTTTTTTTTTTTAAACTCTGTGGGAGCCCAGAATTTCCCTGGGAAATAAAATCCTTTAAATACTGTCCAGAAAAAAAAAAAAAATACCACCTTATAACAGGTCTCATTTGTGACTGCTTCCAAAACTGCAGATAAGACCTCAAATCATCAAAAGGTTTGATTTATTAAAAAGAAAAAGTCTCTGGTGAAATCTCAAGAGTCCCTTCCACCCCAAGCATTTTTCTTCATTAAACAAGGAGTCAAAAACCCACTCAAACTATAAATTGAACAGCAATGGAAAAATAAGAAATTTTCATTCTTTTCCAATCTTAATGTAATTTAACATAAACTCCAGTTTACTTACACCTAAAACAATAACAGCTTTTGTTGTGTCCACATTTCAAAACATAGAACATTTGCAAGACAAAAAAAAACATCATTTTTCCTTCTCCATCATTTCTATATATTTTGGGGATTTTTGTTTTGTTTTGTTTTTTAAAAAAAGATACAAACAATCTTCAAAGTTTACCTTTTTGGACTTAAGGCATAACATGAAATTGCGCATTATTCTAAAGCTTAATTGTGAAATGAACTAGTTTAAGTGCTATCAAACCCTGTTTGCGTTTACATTAAATTATATAGTATTTTATTTCTGTTCTTGCTGTAAATTCTAATGCTGTTCATGGATTGTGCAATTCCTATGCAATCGGTCTTTGCCTGCTGATAGTTATTAACAGTGCAGTGTGGAATCCAGAGAGTGAGCTTTCATTTTCTCAGTTATCTTTTCAGTTCAATGCATGCTGTTTAATTGTGTGGAAGATCCAATCCATTTTTGTTGTCCAGCCACCATGATGTGCATCATTCATTTGTTTCATGAAATATTCCAAAGCCTCTTGCTCAGTTTTATCTAAGGCTAGGGTCTTTCGAATGTATGCAATGTCATCAAAAGATTGTAGTTCTGGCATTCCAGAGCCAAGCATCATTGAGAAAAGATTTATGAAGAGATTGGCATGCTGTCGAATAGCTAGATAAGCCTTGTAACACATCTCCTGAAACCTATAAGTAATAAGAACAGTTTGATTAGTATGGAGCAAATGATGTTAATACCTTCGGGTCTTTGCTCAAATGTCACACAATTAGAGAGGCTTTCGTAGACAAAGCTATAAAAAATAGCATTCCTCTCTCACTTACCTTACCAACATCTTTTGATTCCCTTTACCCCACTAGAATATAAACTTCATGAGAATAAAGACTTTTTAAAAACTGCTTTATTACCAGCACCTACAACAATGCCTGGCATGTCAGCAGTTTAATAAGTATTAAATGTATGAATTGGTCCATACTAAATCCTTTTGTGCTTAAGCTAGAGTCAGGACTGAGTTATAGACAAAGCAGAATTTTATAGAAGGTTGTAAAAAGTACTTTAAAGTCTGATATAGTCTAATGAGATACCATAAGGTGAGTTATGAATAAACAAGGTGATTATGGTTGACGGACTTTCATCAAATTGTATGAGCAAAAAATGTCGTACTAAGCACTATACATTATTTATCAATATAGAGGTGGAGTCCAACTATTTAAAGCTCAGTAAATAAAAACATTTAATGTGTTATGAAGTTTAAGGGTTACTTTCTTTTTAGACCTTAATTAGCTCAACAAATTAAATTGTATTCCCTTTCCATCTTCCTTCACAGCATCACACAAATAAACACAAAAAAATAAAAACATTAAAATAGTTTGTCACTCAACAAAGTAGGCATAGAAGGGACTTACCTCAAAATAATAAAAGTCATATGACAAACCCACGGCCAATATCATACTGAATGTGGGGAAAAGCTGAAAGCACTCCCCCTGAGAACTAGAACAAGACAAGGAAGCCCACATTGGCATCCAAATTGGAAAAGAAGTCAAACTATCGCTGTTTACCAATGACATAATCATATACCTAGAAAACCCCAGAGTTCTCCAAAAGACTCCTAGATTTCAGCTGGGTGTGGTGGCTCACTCCTATAATCCCAGCACTTTGGGAGGCCGAGGCGGGAGGATCACCTGAGGTCAGGAGTTCAAGACCAACCTGGCCAACAAAGTGAAACCCCATCTCTACTAAAAAATACAAAAATTAGCTGAGCATGGTGGTGCACGCCTGCTACTTGGAAAGCTGAGGCAGGAGAATTGCTTAAACCCAGGAGATGGAGGTTGTAGTGAGCTGAGATTGCACCACTGCACTCTAGCCTGGGCGACAGAGCAAGACTCTTTGTCTCTCTCTCTCAAAAAAAAAAAAAAAAAAAAAAAAAAAGACTCCTAGATTTGATAAATGAATTCAGTAAAGTCTCAGGTTACAAAATCACTGTACACAAATCAGTAGCACTGCTATACACCACCACCAACCAAGCAAAGAATCAAATTAAGAACACAAGCCCTTTTAGCTTCAAAAAAATACCTAGGAATATACCTAACCAAGGGGGTATCTTTCCTATTCAAGGAAAACTACAAAACACTGCCAACATCATTTTTCACAGAATTAGAAAAAAAATCCTAAAATTCATATAAAATCCACCAAAAAGAGTCTGAATAGCCAAAGCAAGGCTAAGCAAAAAGAATAAATCTGGAGGCATCACATTACTGGACTTCAAATTATACTAGAAAACTATAATTACCAAAACAGCAGATACACACAAAAGTAGACACATAGACCAATGGAACAGAATGGAGAACCCAGAAATAAAGCCAAAAACTTACAACCAACTGATTTTAGACATACAAAAACATAAATTGGAGAAAGGACATCCTATTTAATAAATGATGCTGGGAAAACCACCTAGCCACATGTAAAAGAATGAAACTGGATCCCTGTCTCTCACCTTATATAAAAATCAACTCAAGATGGATCCAAGACTTAAATCTAAGACCTGAAACCATAAAAATTCTAGAAGATAAACTAGGAAAAACTCTTTTGGACACTGGCCTAGGCAAATAATAAATGACTAAGACCCCAAAAGCAAATACGACAAAAACAAACAAAATAAATGGGACCTAATTAAACTATAAAGCCTTTGCACAACAAAAGAAATAATCATCAAAGTAAATAGATAACCCATAGAATGGGAGAAAATATTCGCAAACTATGCATCCAACAAAGGACTAATTTCCAGAATCTATAAGGAACTCAAATCAGCAAGAAACAAAGAATCCCATCAAAAAGTGGGTTAAAGCCGGGCGCAGTGGCTCAAGCCTATAATCCTAGTACTTAGGGAGGCTGAGGCGGGTGGGTCACCTGAGGTCAGGAATTCAAGACCAGGCTGACCAACATGGTGAAACTCCGTCTCTACTAAAAATACAAAAATTAGCCGTGCGTGGTGGTGTGTGCCTATAGTTCCAGCTACTTGGGAGGCTGAGGCAGGAGAATCGCTTGAACCCAGGAGGTAGAGGTTGCAGTGAGCTGAGATCATGCCATTGTACTCCAGCCTGGGCGACAGAGTGAGACTCCGTCTCAAAACAAAAACAAAAATGAAAACAAAAAAAGTGGGCTAAGGACACGAATAGACAATTCTCAAAAGAAGATATGTAACAACATGAAAACATGAAAAAAATGCTCAACAACATTAATCATCAGGGAAATGCTGATGATTTCCCTGATGATTAATGATATACCACCTTACTCCTGCAAGAATGGCTGTAATTAAAAAGTCTTAAAAAACAACAGATGTTGACATGGATGTGGTGAAAGGGAACGCTTATACACTCCTGGTGGGAATGTAAATTAGTACAGCCTCTATGGAAAACAGTATGGAGATTTCTTAAAGAACTAAATGTAGATCTACCATTTGGTCCAGCAATCCCTCTACCCAGAGGAAAAGAAGTCATTATATCAAAAAGGCATCTGCATGCATATCGTATGTTTATTGCAGCACAATTCACAATTGCAAAGATATGAAACCAACATAAGTACCCACTGACCAATGAGTGGATAAAGAAAGTGTACATTTACACCACGGAATACTACTACACCACAGAAAAGAATGAAATAATGTCTTTTGCAGCAACTGGGATGGAGCTGGAGCCCAGGAATGGAAAACCTGAAAATACACTATGTTCTCACTTGTAAGTGGGAGCTAAGCTATGGGTACACAAAGGCGTACAGAGTGATATAATGGACTATGGAGACTCAGAAGGGAGAAGATGGGAAGAATGGTAAGGGATAAAAAAGTATATATTGGGGGCAAAGCACACTACTTGGGTTACAGGTACGCTAAAATCTCAGACTTTACCACTATTTAATTCATCCATGTAACCAAAAACCACGTGTACCCCAAAAGCTATTGAAATAAAATAAAATAAAAAACAAACAAAAAATAGTTTTTGTTAAAGTGGTAAAATAACTTCTTTTATTTTATTTATTTTGATACAGGGTCTCACTCTGTTGCCCAGGTTGGAGTACAGTGGTGTGATCATGGCTCACTGCAACCTCAACCTCCTGGCCTCAAGTGATCCTCCCATCTCAGCCTCCTGACTAGCTGGGACTACAGTGCATGCCACCACGCCTGGCTATTTTTAAAATTTTTTTTGTAGACATGAGTTCTCACTGTGTTACCCAGGCTGGTTTCAACTGCTGAGCTCAAATGATCCTCCAGCCTCGGCCTCCCAAAGAGTGGGATTACAGGCATGAACTGCCACACCCGGCCAACATTTATTATTTTGAAATTGCTTGAAAAATATTGATTGTTTCTAATAGAGCAGCCAGAACTCTTTATTTTGTGTTTTTAATTTCTCAAGCTCACCTCTCAAATTCTCTTGTCTTTGTGCATTCTTGGGCTCCTTTACTAATCACTATTAAGAAATCCTGTGTCAAAACAAATGGCACACGTTCTCGTTTATAGCCAAATTTTTTCTTCTTGTGATCCAAAAAGTGTCCAAAATCTATATGAAACAGCTTTCAAAAATAAGAAATTATGTTATAGTTTGACATATTCAGATACAAAATATCTTGAATTAATAAATTAAGAACACCAAAAACATTTTAAACAGAGAAAACCATTACTTGTCCATCGTCTTTCACCATGATGTTACTATTGTGACGATCTCCAATTCCCAGAATGAAGGTAGCGACACAATATCCAGCACATGAACGTGTAAACAGGTCAATGGCTGCATCATATCTACAAAGAAGAAGTAAACACCTCATGAGTAGTACGGAAATATAGAGTGCTTCAGGCCAACTTGAGAAAAAAGGGTACAAGCGTCTATTTAAACAATGAAAACAATCACTAACAGGGAATAAGGTAATTATGTCCAAAGATTTTGAGATTGTGAAGTTTTCATGGGTTTCTAAGGAAATTTCCAGATGTTCCCTGACCAAAGCGTAATTCTTATTATAGTGAAAAAATACCATCTCATTAAAATTATTTTTTTCTAATCATTTTAACAATGAATTAGAAATAAAATTTTGAATGTGCAATATTCATTTGTTTAAAAAGAATAAGCAGTAACAATACATTTTAGATAATACATAAAATGAATGTTTAAGATTTTACCAAATCAAAAGTAATTATAATCATTTAAATCCATTAATGTCAAATATTGCAAAGGCTGAGCATAGTTTTTTCCATAGAAAGTACAATTGTTTTCTCTGGTCTAAGTCAGAGGAATACACAAACACTGACAGACTCATCTAACAAAAACTTAGACTAACATAGGAAGAAAGAATAATACAACTCACATTTCTCCTTTGTTCTTGTCTTTGAGCCACTGATGTAGAGTGTGGCTGTTGAACTGCAGTGCACCTTTCAAGCCGCCTTTGCACTGAATTTGCATAATAGTGTGAGAATTTCGCACCACCTCAATAAGTCCCACACAGTCACCGATTGACAGACAACCATAAGGTAACATTCTGAAAGAGGAGCAACACATTTACAATTAAATGATGGAATTTTAAAATAGCAAATATTTTAATAGGCCAAAACATGAGTATTTTATTAGTAAATTTGTCATGCATGACCTTTACTGCCTTTCCCCAATTTTAATTTTCTTTTTTATGGTGTGATAAATATACTCCTGGAATAATCCTCAAAATTACCTGTCATCATTTATTATAACCTTCAACTGAGAAGGTGCTGAACTTTTATCAGAAAAGCATTAAGAAAATTATTGTGGCAATTAAAATTTTACATTTATGACTTTAAAAATATGGGTGAATTTAAAGATGTTTAATTGACATCGAAATAAAACTATAGGGCAGGAGATCTCAAATTTTTGGTCTCAGGACTCCTTTACACTTGTAGAAATTACTGAGGACTCCAAAGAGCTTTTAGTTATGTGAATTACAACTACTGATACTAGAAATTGAAATAGGGAAAGTAACAATTTTAAATAGTTACTAATTCATTTAAAAGCAACAAACCATGACATGTTAATATAAATAACGTATTTCATGAAACAAGAAAATGCATTTAAAAAATGTAGTGAGAAGAGTGACATTCTTTCACATTTAAACATTTTTTTAAATGTCTGGTTTCATAGTACACAGCTGGATTCTCATATATGCTTTTGTATGCAATCTAATGCAATGTTTTAATTGAAGTATATAAAGAAAATCTGGCCTCACAAAGATAGGTAGGTAGAAAAAGGAGTATTACAATAGACTTTTCAGATAATTGTGGTATTTTTCTTTGATACTATTCCAAAACTTGGTAAGTTTCTTAAGTTGCAATATGTAATCTAAAACCATATCAATAAACTTTTCATACTCAGTTACATTAAAATCAATTTGTCTTTCTTGCCTTTTAATGGATCTTTTACCCATACATGATTTTATAGTATCCTGCGCATGGCCATTTGTAGATGTTCCAAATGTTGATACTTTTCATTATACCATACTGAAAACCACAATTGTTAATATAACCAAGAATCTCATTAGAAAGATGTTAAGTTTAGGGACTCTATTAGGTTCAGTGGCAGATACTGAAAATTAGAATTTTCAAAATTCTAAGTTTGAATTTCTAATGAAATTTTTGTTGCAAGCTTGAATTTTATCATTGGCAACAAATACTGTCACAGTTGTTTTCGTCAAAGAGACAGGCACATATTGTTCATTTTTAAGAAAATGTCTGCCAAATATCCATGTCTGAATAACCATAGCTTGCCTACTAGTTATTTTTTAAGTAAAAATCGTGTTCCATCAAAACAGCAGCTAGTTCAGCTCACAACTCAAATAATCTCACAAATGTTTCCCTTTGATACAACCATAATACTTGGGGATGTGACACAAATGCTTTTTAGGATACCTCTCACTTATTAACATAGAAAATTAAATAGGACATGTAGTCAAGGGTGCAGATGTGAGGATTTAAAGAGACAATGAAAAAAAGCACCTAACATTCAGATTGACACGTGAGTATCCAAAGTTTGGTTTTCCTTGCTCTGTTCTTCTCATAAGCTACTTTCCACTCTTTCCACCTTTCCTTTACTTCTTAAATTCCTAATACAGTCTATACTTATTTTCATTTTCTTACTTAATTCCTTGTAGCCTAGCTTCTACACCTACCATTCTAGTGAGTAAACTCTTAAAGATAATCATGAGTCATTAAATTCAAGTGCTTTTTCACAGACCTCATTCTTTTAAACCCCTTGAAGCCCTTGGCCCTACAAATTGTCAATCACTTCCTCTAGTACTCCTACTTCTTTTGATGACTTCTCTTACACAATCTTTTCTTCTACCTGCCCTGGTAAATAGGGAAATTTCTTAAGGTTGTACTCCTGCTCATTCTTTCTTATTTTATGTTTTTATCACTGTTGAACATGCTCATAGTTCAAAGAATTCAATTGTCTTCCAAGTCCTGTTATTAAAAAAAAAAAGCAGGGTTAAAATTAACCCGATTATGAATTATAGTTTTGCCAAGTATAAATAAAAATGCTGTTATGATTTTACTTAAATAATTTTAATCTCAAGTTAAACTTGAAATAAAATTTTTACTTACATTTACTTGTTAAAAAATATTCAGAAAATATAAGACTAAAAAACCGTTAATAATTCTAATCATCTTAACTTTAGAATCTTTTTTGCAAAGTCACTAATTTACAATTAATGTAATTAACTAGGGTTACATAGTTACCTCCTTTACTCTTTCTTGGCTCTACAATCTTTTTTACAGTCTATTCCTTTGGGGGACCTGGTAGTAGTGGAATGTGGATCTCTCACGACACAGGAAATAATACCAAAAAATGAAATTAGATTCATATAACCTTAACCGTCTTTGGAAAGCAGCAAGGGTTAAGCAATGTATCACGAGTTACGAATCTGAAGTTGATAACAGTTTTGTGCCTTAGCATATCACTTGAAATGTCCACTTTCTTCTTTCCAATACAAAGGTACTACTATTTGTCAGTGACACATTTTTGTATACTAGCTACTCTTAAAATTTATAAGAGGCAAACAAATAAGCCCTTGTCTGGTGTTACCTGCAATTCCTACTAAATGTACCCTGTTGTCGCAGCTAGACTTGACTCTATGTCCACTTATAGGCCAAAGTACTTTGGAGAGAGCGGGCTTTGCCTGAATGACTATGGATTTGCAAAAAGACAAGTAAGATAAGGAAGAACATTTTAGAAGCAACAATGACTAGGAGAAGATGAAGCACAACAGAAAACTTGGTGATAATACTGATACTGTGGAAAGTTGGGTAGAAACCAACAGACTGGTAAAAACTCTAAGATTAGCTGGTTGCATAATTTTGCTGAAAAACTGATTCCAGTATTTGAGGATTTATACAACTTTAGAATTAGAAAATTTCTATTATGAAACTTTCTTTTAAACTCTTAACTTCTGAATGAAACCAGGGGTCTTGTGTGTCTCCTTTGTCTTGTTCCTAATGGTCACACTCCAGAGGCAGTTGCAGAGTGTTTATTAGCTTCTTAGCTCTTTTTACTTAGCTGAATATAATTTAGCTATTCTAAGTCAAGTAAGAGGAGGATATGTCAAAGTACTATAGTGTAATCAACTATTGATAATTACTACTGCATACATTTCTTTTTAGATATATGACTCTATATGCTTCTGTAATTATTAATAGTTCACTTTTTCAGGATAACTTTCAACATACAGGTTGCCTTACTGGTTACCTACCGAAGATCAAGACCTTGATTTTGCCAGATATTTTCCATAATACGAATAATTTGAAGTGTTAGCATATCTTGCCGTAAATCTGAAATTCAAATAATATGTATCACCATTTAATGCCACAGATGCAAATTTGGGGATCACGCCATCACATAGTTTTCAAATGAAAAACAAATACAGCTATATTTATCTTCAAAAGAAACTACAGGAAAGCAATATTCTGATTCTTTTAAAAAAATGTATAAATGAGTGTGTATGTCCACTCAAAGCCTTTACATAGCTTTATTAATTTATAATTTTTTGAGATGGGGTCTTGCTACATTGCCCAGGCTGGTCTCAAACTCCTGGGCTCAAGTAATCCTCCAGAGTAGCTGGGATCACAAGCATGCACCACTACAAATGGCTCTTAATATTCTGATTCTTAAATCCACTTTTAAAGTCTTTGCATAAACATATTTGAATAACAATGTAGGATAAGTGAGCATGTATCTCATAAAAATTTTTAATTAAAGCATTTATAGTAATTATTTTTCTGAATCCTTAAATTTGAACATATGTTTACATTAAAATATTGGGATCAACAGAATTCACTGCTGAAATGTCATTTCCTATTGAAAACCCATCCATGGATCCTCCTTCACTCCCCCGATAGCCTTTTCCTCCAAATAAGTACCTTCTTTTATATGGTTCCTAAGCAGATTACACTTTTCCTTTGTACCATGCTTGTAATTTCATTTTTATAATTACTTATTTAATGTCCCTCTTTTCTCTGTTAGGCTGTAAGCTCCAAGAGGGCAGGGATTCTGTTTTCTTCACTGCTAAAACCCCAGGGCCTAGCACATAGAATATTTATGGAATGAATGGATACTCACACAGCTAAGCAAATGATAATTAGAAACTGATTAAAAAAAAAAAAAACCAAAACAACAACAAAAAATACTTCTCTACACAGGTCCACGAGAGGGGGGTTGAGGCAGGGAATAGGAAAAAGAAAAAACAAAAAACTGATTTCAGGACTTCTGATCTAAGCCTAGTACTTCTCTTCTTTTCATTGATTATATATGCATATTTCAAAGGTCAAGATATCTGATTAATATTATGTATTTTATCACATGTATGTATTCCTTAAATGGCTTTCAATAGTTTTCATGGTTCATAAATATCCTGGGTATAAAAAGATAGCTAAATTCATGCATCGTAAGCTCATTAATACTCTTCCTTACCATCCCCATTTTTAAAGATGATCTCATTGTTCTGAAACAGTAACTCTGACATGATGTCTGGGTTCTCCCAATTCAACCACAGTGGCCTTTTTGCAGAGGACATAATTCGACACTCTTCAAGCCTTTAAAATATTTAAAAACTTTATTAGGCACCTTTGCTTTATTATTCCTTTACCCTCAAATTTATTTTAAAATATAAATACCATACAGCTTTTTGAAGTGTTATAAAGATTTAAAACTTTCTCAATTTTTATTTAGGAATCCATTTCTAAGGAGTATAAAAAAATACTAAGTTTTAGAAGTTATATAATTGCATATGAATTTCCAACAAATATATAGAGATATACCATTAGTTTTACAGATATTACATTTCCATTTCTTATCCTATGATAACAGAAATTCTGGCCATAGAAGGTTTTAAATTCTATTATTTAAGTAGTAAAAACTCATTCTGAATAAAGGCAGTACTGAACTTAAGATAATTTACTACTCTTATTTTGAGGGTAGGAGAATGACAGCGAGAAGCATAGATTATTGAACATTCTAATTATAATAGACATTTTGACTTTTCTCAAGATTTTATCCAGAAAAGGTATTTATTTAAATATATAAATGAAACCCCCAAGAAAGTACCTGAGATTTCCTAGTTGATGAGCAGGGTTTAGAGGAGATAGAAAGCCCTGCAGAGCATCCATGAAATCTGGTCGCCTCATTTGCTCAACTAAAAACTTCATCTGTACCTGATTTAAAAAAAGGATAGTAACAGTAAGAAACTGACTTAATAAAAGGTAAAACTAACTGCTAATCTCTTTTATACATGAGAACCTCAGTACTGTACAGTCTCTGAATCTACATCCTAGACTGGCTGCCTTCTAATTAAGAGGGTTTCTATAACAACAGAGCAGCAACACTCAAGAGACAGAAGCAAGACTGGCAGCACTGTGTACCCCTTCCTGTAAGAAGATGAAATCTACTTGGTGATAGTGGCAATGCTTTTGGCTGTAGAGCAGGGCTAGTCAATTATGGCCGGCAGGTCAGCTGCCAGTTTTTGTAAGTTAAGTTGTATTAGAATACAGCTATACCCATTCATTACATATTGGCTACTTTTACGAGAATAGCAAGAGTTGAATAGTTAAGACAGAGACCACATGGGCCTGCAAAGTCTAAAACAGTTACTATCTGGCCCTTTAAGAAAATTTGCTGATCTGTGTTCTCGAGGAAAAACTAAGGAGACCATGTTGTATTAGCTTAATAACCTTACTTTTAGGCTTTTAAGAAAACACAGCATTCATACTCTCATTGTTAGGTAAAAGTGGTCTAGTGAGGCTAAAAGAAATTGTTGGGAAAAGGACTTATAAAAACATTTGTTACATGGAGTCTCATATTATAATCAGGTTTTAGTATGTGGCTACAAAACAATATCTCTTTTTAATCAATTCAAATCAGAGCCCAGACTGCTGAATTATCACGCAATAGCTGGGATTTTATTTTAGGAAACCTTCACCTTTTGAAAATATAAAATGTGAGTAGGGGGAAAAAGTGGTTAGGAGCCAGGAATTAATAATAAATTAATTTTCATGCTGGAATTTAAATAATAAGGTTTATTTTTCTTCTTGTTATATATAAATGGTTAGAAAATCTAGTCATCACTGACTAGATAGCTCTTGTTCATGTAAAGGCATTTCTATCACTGACAACTCTAATAGCACAGTGCTTCATGTATTTTATCACTCATTGTTAGGACAAAACACAAAGCCACTCAAAGTAACTGCTCTTGTTTCTATGACTGCAATCTTGGCTCCCTATCAAAATCTCATTTAAGCCAATAATGATCTGAGTAATGAATTTCATGTTCCTAATTAATCCACTGTATCATAGCCAATTTGTGACATAAAAACTCCAGCTTAGAGGAAATGCCTATACAGATGGTCTCCAACTTAACGATTTTTCAACTTTGTGATGGTGTGAAAGCAACATGCATTCAGTAGAAATTATACCTCAAATTTTGAACTTTTATCTCTTCCTACATGCATTCAGTAGAAACTATATGTCAAATTTTGAACTTTTATCTCTTCCTACGCTAGTGATATGCAACACAGTATTTTCTTGAGATGCTGGGTAGCAGCAGCCAGCCACAGCTCCCGGTCAGCCATGCAGTCATGAGGGTAATTGACCAATACTCTACAGTGTACTGTGTGGCCAGCATATTTTGGATACTGTGTTTTGTGTTTTCGCATCCCAACACATCTACAAAATGCCCATTTTTGCCTTTAAGATATTTTCAACTTATGATGTGTTTATCAGGATATAACCCTATTACAAGTCGAGGGACATCTGTATTTACAAATGTATCTAAAATTTAGTTTCTTTTTTCTTAGCTCAGTTACAATATATAAATACAATAAATTTTGTTCTTCCAAGGCAATCTAGTCCCTTCTTGCCCACCAATTCCAGTATCAGAAAGAGTACAATTATTTTCTAACATCCTATATTTGAATTTATATATCACACTTCAATAAAATCAACTCATACACTGTATGACATTTACATTAATACAGTAACTTTCTTTTAAATTTTTTTTTTCCTTCAAGTACTAGTAATGAAGATGTTGGAAAAATTCATTCAGTACTGCTAACTTACATTCTCTGTCCTTTGGGGACTCACTAATAAACGATTTTTTTTTGTTTTCATTTCACTAGAGGTGAGGAATGAGCTTCCTTTTAAGTGTAAGAGGTGGTGAATTTAGGATGTGGTGGATTGGATTGAATAAAGATTAGGGTGTAGGAAAAGGTCATAAAAAAGTTTACATTGGGCTAGACACAGTGGCTCATGCCTGTAATTCCAGCACTTTGGGAGGCCGAGGTGGGCGGACTGCTTGAGTCCAGGAGTTGGAGACCAGCCTGGGCAACAAGGCGAAACGCTGTCTCTACTAAAAATAAAAAAATTAGCTGGGAGTGGTGGCATGCTCCTATAGTCCCAGCTACTCGGGAGGCTGAGGTGGTAGGATGGCCTGAACCCAGGAGGTCAAGGCTGCAGTGAGCCGAAATTGCACCACTGCATTCCAGGCTGGGCAAAAGAGCCAGACTCTGTCTCAAAAAAAAAAAAGTTTACGTTATATTTCCTACTCTTAGTTATACTAAGCTAGACTGCAGATGACTAGAGTGTGTGATATATTTACTGAGTGACTCGAAATCCATTTTAAACTTGGAAATGTAAAAACTAACTTCTTTCCACTCATTTTCAGGGTCATTACTGAGAGACAATAAATGACAGAATAAGGAAATAATCACTGTAAATACTTAGGGACCTGAATAAGAGAAAGGAAGGGAAAGTAAAGGGATCTAACATTTATTGGGCACTTTCTATGTTCCAAGGATTGTGAAAGGTTCTTTGCATAACTCATGTAATTTAATTCTCACAATGGCCTTACGAAGCAGGTACTATTCCCATTTTACAGACAAAGAAAATGAGTCTTGAGAGCCTACATAATGTGTCTAACACTACACAGCTGAAAGGCAGTGGAACTTGGTTCCAAATCCTAATATGCTTGATTCCAAGGACCATGATCTGTATATACACTGAGCTTCTAAACAACTCTGCCCCATTGCAATGAAAAGAGTCTCAAACACAAACTAGAGTACACACCTTTTGTGTTTCATCCTTTTTCTCCTGTTTGAGAATGTCAGTTAAGTTAATGAGCTTTTCCATTGCCTCGACTTGCCTATTCAGGTGCTTCAAATACATCCCACATGCACGACAATAGGACTCCAAAAGCAGGCCAAACCTCTGGCTAACTGTTTTATTGTGCATCTCAGATCTAAAAGAATCATGCAAAATTAAAAATATATATATAATAGTCTTAACTGAGTATACAAATAATATTTGCTGAACAATTTAAACACTCATTTTCGAAATCCAATAAATGTTGCAATCACACTAATAACAAAATTATTCAAAACCTGTAATTTAGAAGCAAAACCAGTATGAGTTTCAGGTAGTTCCTGAATATGTGATTAAATAAACATCTAGTTTTTAGATTTATTTCAACTAGTTTTCATTTACTAATCTCAGTACAAGATATAAAAACATGAAAAAAGGAAATTGAGTACAAAAATAATCAAATGAAGAGGGAGGGAACAAAGCGCTCAATGAATGCTATTTGATTCTTCTGACACACGCCTATGCTTCTTGTTTTCAACTTAACTTCTGGGTTCCATTTTTAAATTTTAACACTTAAAAAATCATATTAGATATAAATCTTTCTAAATTTATGCAAAATTATATGGTTTATGATCTGTAACTTTTGAGTACTAGATATATCACATTCTACAAAATATTTTTTATTCTTAATTAGCTTGTTTTTCAATAAGAACCATAGGAGTTTGACATTATTTTTCTGAATTTCAAGGTAAAACATTTTTTTCTTTTTTTTGGGATATTTTAATCCACACACGCAGTGAAACCTACAGCAATACTCATCTGGACCTAGAAAATTTTACTTAAGTAGAACAAAAATCTTTAAAAATATTTCAGCTCTCATTCATGACTAAAATTTAGTTTTGAATTTATTACTTTTTAAATTTCAAAGAGCAAAAGTTGAGAAGCTCATCACTGGTACAAAATACTTTTAGTATGGAAAACTCTTCCAGCCAAACATAAACAAAAGTATACAAGTAATACATATTTGTAAGTCTATTAAGAAAGCAAGTAATATGTACCTTAAGAATTTAATGGGAAAATAATTAGACTTACTTTAAATGCCAAAAGAAAAAGTGCCCAATCCTTTGATTAGTCAATGCTTTCTTCAGTAAAAATCTCACAAGCAAGTTATCCAAATATTGTTCATATTTTAGGACCTAGGTGTTTCAAAAACAAAAAATCAGGGTCAGTTTCTGCATGGCTGAGCTAAAGAAAATTTTTTCAGAAAGAAAGTGGCTATTACTGGTCATAAATTTTTTTTTTCTAAAGCATAAAACTAGTTAGTGCAGGTTTTTAAAAAGGAAGTTGTATGGATCTAGAATAAATTACTATTTTAATTAAACATTATTTACTATTTTACATTATTTTACCTGTACTAGCTGAATTAAATACTGAGAAAGTTTGTCATCTGTTAAATATTTTTCCAAGCACCGAACAGCAAAACCTCGAACCATAGGATCTGGGTAATTACAGTCCAGAAGTTCCATAGCCTGTTCAGGTTTGATTGGAGGCCAGTCTTTTACCAAGCAATACATCTGTATATGAGAAAGACAATAAATCATATTTAAAGGGGAAAGACAGTTGTGAATGAGCCATCTAAAACACTGCCTTAACTTCTGATTTTAAAATTAGTTTAGATAAATAACCTCCTTAGAATTTACAGTTCTAATTAGTTTTATCTGTGGAAATAATGTTAAGGGTATTTTTTCTACACTATATTACTATTATTAGTCTATTTCATTTCTTTTATTTATGCAGACTTTCTGAGAGAAAACAATTTTAAGTGACATACCAATTTGTACAACAGTTATCTAGTATTCTCAAACATACATTTACCTGGGCTACTTCATCTCTAGAATTCCATTTAACAGACAGAAGCAATTTGGGTAGAATTTCGGGGATAGTTACACAATAGTGTCTGTGTGGGAGAAACAAAATAAAAATAAACACTCTTGCATGCTATTCAAAAGGTTTACATGTCTAACTTCTCAATATGCAATCTGTAAGAAGTCCCAAACTTCTTACATTACTAGCCTTTTTAAAATTCAAAGGACATCAGTGCTTAACACTACAGTTGGAAATATATTTACATACATACTTAGGCACAGTTATAATGGCAAAGAACACAAAAGGAAAATGCAAATGGATTATAAAGTACTTAAATTTAGTTAATAGTTAAGAAAAATTATGAATATATGTTATACCACTCTTCATATAGTTCATATTTTTCATCTACTTATGCAATATGAATGAATCATAGAGTCACCACTTCTACTATGATTACTGGACAAAATTTATGTCTTAATGGACTTTCTGCAGAAATGCACTGCAACTGGTTTATTTAAGTATACCAGTATCACCAACAGCAGGGTAGTTTCTTCATAAATGAAAATAAGGCATTATACTATTTGAAGAAACGTAAGAAAAAAGAAAAATGAAAGGGAAACCCTAAAAATTATAATATCTAGACCAACTAAATCATATCTAAATTGACCTAAAACTACTATTTTAACAATCCTAAAGAAAGTCGTATCAGGAATTCAGAGTAAGAAAAAGCATTTAATGTGCCAACTACCAATGTAGTATGATTTTCTACAAGTATCAATTTACAGCCATTGTTTTTAAAAAGGCAATGTTTATAGTTTAAAAATCATGTAAATTCTACTTTATTTATTCTAATAGGTATGGTAAAAATATACCGAGATCAGCAAAGTCAGTTATTTTTTCTGCAATAAAGAAAAAGAAACAGAGAATCTCCATTTCAGCACTTACCTGTGGCTCCACAGAAAATCTTTCTCCTGCTCAGTGATTTCAGAGAGAGGATCTCGTGTAGAAATTGCTTTGAGCTGTTCTTTGTCATTTTCCCTTAATTCATTGTCTCTAGCTAGCCTGTTACTCTGTAAAATAAAATTATATCTTATGTAGTTTTTTTTTGTCATATTTTCCCCCTCTGGATTCACGGATGATTTACAAAAAAAGCAAATAAATTTTCAATAAACTTTACATCGCTAATTAACTGTTGTAAAATAATTTATTCTCATTGCAAGACTTTATTTTCAGAGACAGGAAAGAGCCAATCCAAGATATAATATTTGTGGAACAAATCCAGTAATTTATTTGGTTAATATTACACCAATCACAGAATAGTAACTGCTGAAGTTAGCCAACAACAAGACCAGATTAGGATACTAGAGGATGGTAGTGAACAATTTACTTTTCCTCCTGACGAGGATCTTGTTAACTTATCTGTGAATGTTTTTGATATAAGAGACTAAGAAACACTAAAATAATAAAAATGTAAACTCTTTCATGTCCTTTGCCTAAACAAATCCTTATGATCACTGCAAGGCTTTCAAATTTAAAAAGTAGAAATCAGTAAGAAAAAAAGAATGAAAAACACCCCCATTAAAACACTGTATCCTGAATATTAGAAAATTAAAAATAATTTTTTTTGTATAATTCCAAGCAATGTATATTCCCTGCAAATATAGATATATTAACTGTGTAATGAACAATGAGTACATATTAATGTATTATGCAAAACAAATATAAACCCCTTAGGATGGGTTACATATATTTCTAAATAGCTAAAAATGAAAGCAGACACCCATGCCACCTGGTTTGTATGTGTTTATATGCTGTTAACTTATTCAGCAGGATGAAGAAATATTACTGGCACATATTTGTTCAAGTATTTATTAAATATGTACTATGTACCTTGTTTTGTTCTTGCTGTTGGGATTACAAAATAGTAAAAGACTCTGCACTTACAGAGCCTCAGTTATAGTGGGAAATCAAATAAATAAAAATATTGGAAAATTGATATAAGGTACTCTGGATGATGTAACAGAGAATGATTGAGAACACAGTATTTGTGATTCAAGTAACAAGAAGGAACCTTTATCCACACTACTTAGGGAAAGACTATTGCAGATGGAGAAAACACTGAAAGCCTTCCTCCCACCCCAGAAATAACTAGTTTGGTGTGAAGGAAGAAAGCCAGTGAGCCTGATGGGCAATAGACAAGGGAGAGAAGAAATGTAAGCTGAATTCAGACCACATAAAATTTGCAGGCCAGTGTATAAAGTTGGGATTTTATTTTTATTGATAGCTATTTAAAGAATGAATACCTTGATTTGATTTGTACTTCATAAAGATTATTATGGCTTCTCTGTGAAAGGAGGGAGACCAGTTAGGAGGTTATTGCAATAGTCCAGGAAAGAGAGAATACATACTCAATCCTCGATTTACCAGGAAAAGAAGTTGCTACTGTTTATTTACTTATTTTTATTTGTTTACATTTTAAATGTAAAATAACTTAAAGAATAAAGTGATGGGGAAAACAATTTTATTAGACATTTTAATAAGAATTTAAATATTATAAAACCAAATTCTTATCTACATTTTTCTGGTTTTGAAGATAAATATATCATTGTCAAACTAGAAACTACATTGTCAAAATGCAATATTTTTGAAAACTCTTGACGGCTCATAACTGTTGAAGGAAGGGCCATCTTTTTTCCTCTGTAACTGCAAAACATTACTACTCTATAAATACCAATCAGAATGAGTCGCTCAAGGAGTTATTTTATTTCTACATCATCTTTTTCCTTCTAGTCACATTTGTAGACACAGCTACTTTCAGCATTTGTCCATTTAAACAGTGTATCAGGTAAATTGTTAAAGTAGATTTAGAGGTTCAAGAAAATTAAAAAAAATTTTTGGTGCATATAGGAAAAGATGAAAAGAATATTGTAAAACATGAGGCTGTTCAGGTTCTTGTCACAAAATACTGTGTGATGAAGTCATTCTGGTGGAATGACTAACTGAATGTGAATACAAATTTCCTTTTTGTCTTTAGAAATACTACCAAATTTCCTTTTTGTTGTTAGAAATATATTCTTTACTCATCATTATCTTGAGTTTGAGAAGACTTAAGATAACTAAGAGACAGTTTAGGTACTGTCATCTGACATTTCATTTATATAATAAACTTCAGCATGATTAGCATTTAGAGTAGTGGTTATCAACTAGGGTGATTTTATGTCCTCCTGACCTCCCAGGAACCTTGGCTAATGTCTGGAGACATTTTTGATGGCCATAACTTAGCAGGATGGCACTACTGGCCTGCAGTAGGGTAGAGGACAGGGATGCTACATCCTGGATTGCACACACAGAATGGCTCCTACAACAAAGAATTATTTGGTGCAAAATGTCAATAGTGCTGAGGTTGGGAAACTGCTCTAGGCTGCTACTATCTATCTGCATTCATATTACGATTTCTCTAATGCTTGTGAAATATCTTCCTCGATCAGTTTTCATCTGTCATCATTCTGGGTGAAAAGTGAAAAATTCTGATTCTCAAGTGTCCAATGAAAGCCTAAAAGAAACCAACCAACTAAACAAAAAAATTACAAAGACAGTGTCTGCAGATTTCTTCTATGCTTCTGGAAAGATGATGCAAGACACTGGGCAATGCAATAAGAAAACTGAAGGATGATGTAACGTGATGATTTACTTCACTATTTTATCATCCTTCTAGGCTATTCTATCCTTCTTTTATATTTTCATATTATTTTAGTCTTTTTCTAGCATAGTTGGAAACAATGAATATGGATAAAATAATTTCTAGAATGATGAAATAGTAAAATATTTAAGATACAGAAAAACTAAGATCCCATGTCGTATCTTAGATTCACAAGTTTCCAATAGATACAAATTGTAACTGAAAAATAGAAGTTTTATTCTACTATAAAATAAGCAGATTTCTTTTCTTTGAAATAAAAGTTCTTTTAAGAAAGAATAGTCATCAAATATCAATCCTTACAAAGAGTTAGAATTGTTCAAAAAATAAAGTCATATATTTTAAATTATATATGCAGAAAAGATAATTCATTTTCCCAAAAGTAGTGGTAAACGCCTTACTGAGAACACAGCTATGAATCAATAAATCAGGATTCCTAAGTGCAATATACCAGGTCTTGGTGCTGCTGTTACTGTTAATGGGATACATGTGTTTTGGACTTCTTGGCCCAAAATTAATTGGCTGGTTTATCTATAGCCAACAAGGCCAAAGAAAAAGTAATACATTTGGAAACACCAATGAACACAAACATCTTCTCTTGGCATTGACACCTTTGCCCTTGAGAAATCAGGGAGAGTTAATGGTTCCTGAACCTAGTTATACTGTGGTTCCAAAGCTATGGCCAAGATTAGACAACCAGATCAATATTTAAATTCCACCTTATATACACTCTTTCCTGGGGAACCTGGGATAACGTGGTGAAGACCTGCTGTTTTCTCTGCTTCCAAGCTTAACTAACAATGTATTTATGCAGGCGTACCCTGTATTATTGTGCTTTGCTTTACTATACCTCACAGATATTGCATTTCCAACAAACTGAAGGTTTGTGGTGGTATCCCTACATAAAGCAAGTCTCCTGGCACTGTTTTTCCAAATGCATGTATTCATTTTTTATCTCTGTGTCACATTTTGGTAATTCTTATAATATTTTAAACTTTTCATTATTATTATACATTATGATGATCTGTGATCAAAGATCATTGATGCAACTGGGGGGCACTATGAGCCAATTAAGATGGTGAACTTATTCGATTAAGTGTTGTATGTTCCGACTTCTTCACCAACCAACCCTTGCTCATCTTTCCCCCTCCTCTCAGGACTCTCTATTCCCTGAGACACAACAATATTGAAATTTGGCCAATTAATAACCCTACAATGGCCTCTAAGTATTCAAGTGAAAGGAAGAGTGCCGTGTCTCTTGCTTCATTCACATCAAAAGCTAGAAATGATAAAGCTTTGTGAGAAATGCATGTCAAAAGCCATACAGGCCAAAGGCTAGGCCTCTGGTGCCAAACAGCCAAGTTGTGAATGCAAAGGAAAAGTTCCTGAAGGAAACTAAAAGTATTACTTCAGTGAATGAAGTATAAGAAAACAAAACAGCCTTAATGCTGAAATAGATAAAGTTTTAGTGGTCTAGATAGAAGATCAAACCAGCCACAACTTTTCCTTAAGTCAAAGCCTAATCCAGAGCAAGGCCGTTAACTCTTTTCAATTCTATGAATATTGAGAGAGACAAAGACGCTGCAGAGGAGAAGTTTGAAGCTAGCAGAGGTTGGTTTAAGAGGTTTAAAAAAGAAGCTGTGAAGCAGCAAGTGCTGATGGAGAAGCTGCTGCAAGTTCTCCAGAAGATCTAGCCAAGATAACTGATGAAGGTGGCTACACTAAGCAATAGATTTTCAATGTAAACAAAAGAGTCTTATAATGGAAGAAGATGCCATTTAGGACTTTCACAGCTAGAGAACAGAAGTTAATGCCTGGCTTCAAAGCTTCGGGCTGACTCTCTTGTTAGGAGCTAATACAGCTGGTTAACTGCAATGGCAGGTTTTGAGAGGACTGACTCCAAATCTGAAAGAAGTTCTATTGTGGGTAAAATGCTATCAAATAGCATCACATGCTGCAGAGAAATCTTTCATGAAAGGAAGGGTCAATCAATGTGGCAAACTTCATTGTCGTCTTAAAGAAATTGCTGTAGCCAGTCTAACGTTACTTCAGCAACCACCAGCTTGATGAGTCAGCAGTCATCAACACTGAGGCAAGACCCTCCACCAGCAAAAAGATTACAACTTGCTGAAGGCTTGGATGATCATCAGCATTTTTTAGCAGTATTTTTAAAGTATGTACATTGTTGTGTTAGACATAAAGCTATCACACACTTTACAGATGACAGTATAATGTGAACAGAACTTTTATATGCACTGGGAAACCAAAACATTTGTGACTCTTTTGTGATTTTTGCTTTAGTACAGTGGTCTAGAATCAAACTCACAATACCTCAGAGGTATAGCTGTACTTCAGTCTCAACTTCAAGGTGACTATCTCAGAGAGGTCTTTCCTGAAATATATATATATATATTTGCTTTTCCCCACAAATCCTCAGTTAGTTATTCTTAGCTCACTATTGTTTTTCCTTCCTGGCACTTAACATGATTTATACAGCTGACCCTTGGACAATATAGGGGATAGGGGCACTGATCTCCTGTACAATTGAAAATCCATGTATAAATTTTGACTCCCCAAAAACTTAACTACAAATGCCTACTGTAGACTGGAAGTCTTAACAGAAACATAAACAGTTGATTAACACTTATTTGGTACATATGTACTATACACTATATTCTTGGAATAGAAAGTGAAAAGAAAACGTCATTAAGAAAATCATAAGGAAGAGAAAATTCATTTATAGTACTATACTGTGTTTACTGATACTGTACATTGATGCTGTCTTTTGGCCGGGCATAATGGCCCACACCTGTAATCCTAGCACTTTGGGAGGTAGCGGAGAGAGGATCACTTGAGCTCAGGAGTTCGAGACCAGCCCAGGCAACATAGTGAGACCCCATCTCTCTCTCCTGTTTTTTGTTTTTTGAGATGGAGTCTCACTCTGTTGCCCAGGCTGGAATGCAGTGGCGCAATCTCGGTTCACTGCAACATTTGCCTCCCGGGTTCAAGCGATTCTCCTGCCTCAGCCTCCCAAGTAGGTAACAGGCATATGCCACAACGCCTAGCTAATTTTTGTATTTTTAGTAGAGATGGGGTTTCACCATATTGGCCAGGCTGGTCTCGAACTCCTGACCTCGTGATCCACCTGCCTCGGCCTCCAAAAATGCTAGGATTACAGGCATGAGCCACTTACCCAACCTCTTATTAAAAAAAAAAAGTTTGGCTGGGTGCGGTGGCTCACGCCTGTAATCCCAGCACTTTGGGAGGCTGAGGTGGGTGGATCACCTGAGGTTAGGAGTTCGAGACCAGCCTGACCAGCATGGAGACACCCCATCCCTACTAAAAATACAAAAATTAGCTGGGCATGGTGGCGCATGCCTATAATCCCAGCTACTCAGGAGGCTGAGGCAGGAGAATTGCTTGAACCCTGGAGGCGGAGGTTGCAGTGAGCCAAGATCGCTCCACTGCACTCTAGCCTGAGCAATAAGAGCAAAACTCCATCTCAAAAAAACAAAAACAAACAAACAAAAGTGTATGTTGTCTGTTTACAAGATGAGTTGTCTGTCTGAAATAAGGGCAACTGCAACTGCAGACCTCAATATATGGTACACATCAAGCAATTCAACTTTTTGCCTGTAATCTCATGACTTTTCTCTGCTTCTTGAGAGCACCTCCAGCATCACTAGAGGCTCTCCTCACAGGCTTCATAGTGTTATTCAGTGTTCACAGTATTGCACTAACCATGACAAAAAATATGCAAGAACTGAGAGAGATCACTTTTTACTGCAATAAACAATTTACTGAAGTGATGAAGTGCTCATGTAGAGATGATCAGCATTACACAGCATTTCTGTTTGTTTGTTTTGTTTTGTTTTTTCAGACAGAGTCTTGCTCTGTCGCCCAGGCTGGAATGCAATGGCGTGATCTCGGCTCAATGCAACCTCTGCCTCCCGGGTTCAAGCGATTCTCCTAACTTAGCCTCCCAAGTAGCTGGGATTCCAGACACATGCCACCACACCTGGCTTTTTGTATTTTTAGTAGAGACGGGATTTCACCATGTTGGCCAGGCTGATCTCGAACTCCTGACCTCAGGTGATTCACCTGCCTCGGTCTCCCAAAGTGGTGGGATTATAGGCGTGAGCCACTGCGCCCAGCCTACATAGCATTTTAAGTGTATATCTGCAACGCTTGAGCTTACTACAATAGAAACAGGAGGTGGCTATGAAATTATTACAGTAGTACAGTATGTACTACAGTTAATTTTATGCAGATACAATTTAATATTGCATCTTTATGTATTCTGCATTTCTCTTGACTATGAGTAGTACCATGTATGGTCTGTGTTTGTGTGTGTATGTTTTGATAAATTTTAACTTTTTATAATAGATTTGTGTATATTTTATGGTCGTAAATGATAAAATAGACTTGTATCTACATATATTTTATGGATTCATGACATACCTAACTTCAGTTTTTTTTTTAATACTTCTAGGCTATGTAGTTTGTCTCCAAGTATTTTCAAATTGTCACAAATCTCCAAAAAATTTTCCAATGTATTTATTGAAAAAAATCCACATATAAGTAGATCAGTGTAGTTCAAATCCACGTTGTTCAAGGGTCAACCGTAATCTTATATTTCTGCTTTTATCTGCTTAATATCTATTTTCACCATTAGAGTGCATACTCAGTGAAAGTCTGTTTAGTTCATGACTTTATTACCTAGTGCCTTTCCCAGTGCTTTACACAGAGTTGGCACTCAATAAATGTTCGTTAAATGAATGAAGGCTTTAAAAAAGCAGAGTTGCAGTAAAATATTAGCATACAGAGAACTTAATTATATTGCAGTATTGGTCCTAGAGCTCACAGTATCTATGCCAGTAAAATACATGGATCCTTTTCCATAAAGAAAGTATGTACCTAAATCCACAGATTATGACTGACACTTAATAAACTCAGTGATTTGCCTTACCAGTCCTGCGTGGGAATAGCTAAATCCTGCTTCTCGGGACACAGACCAATTGGCATGCTCTTCAATCACTGACATATCTGGGAACTTTACCACACTGCTGAACCAGTCAAACTCCAACTCTAAGCATGGAGTTTCCTAAGAGATGGAAGAAAAGCTATTATATATACATAAGAGAGAAGGCTTGACTGCCACTATAGTCAATATAAATTAGACTGTCATCTAATTTATGACAATAAAATCCTTACTTTATTTGGATTTGATCCAGTAACACCAATAGGGTTCAGCAAATCTTCTAATCCATGAGGTACTGGCCAAAGATTCAAAGCCATTTTTCCAGATACTAGAGTGTCTGTGTAATCAAACAAGTTTATATTTCCCCATGCCAATGGACAGTGTTCCTTAAAAAACAAAGAAAAATACTCACTAGTCTAAATTATAAAACACATTTCAAAACACTTTTCTTCGCCAGAAAGGAAAATTCAGCAATCATCTCTATAATAATGGGAATATAATATCTAAAAAAAAAAGTTGATTTTTCAAAGCTTAAGCCCGTTCTTTCCTTTTTCCCCATTTGAAATTACATGTATTTTAATTATAAACAGAAAATATGAACCAAAGCAAGCATGAGATATTTGCATACAATGCCTGTTATATAGTCACTTTGCATTTTTAAAAATGGTATCAATAAGAACTCAAAACATATTCATCATAAATAAATTCCTGAAGCTCTCCCAAGGTATTCTTCTATATTTGTTAAAAATTTAAAAATAGGTTTGATTTATTAATATTTTCTTAAATAAAAAATAACATCCATTTTGTCAAAAAATTCAATCAGTGGTATAATCAGGAGTTTTTAAAGGTAAACATAATTCATGGGAAGGGGAACATCACACACTGGGACCTGTCGTGGTTGAGGGGAGCGGGGAGGGATAGCATTAGGAGATATACCTAATGTAAATGACAAGTTAATGGGTGCAGCACACCAACATGGCACATGTATACATATGTAACAAACCTGCACGTTGTACACATGTACCCTAGAAACTAAAGTATAATAAAAAAAAGAAAAAAAAAGATTTACTTTATTTATACATGTTTTATTTGTCAAATAAACATCTATCTTTACCTAAAAAAAATAAATAAATAAAAAAAGATAAAGGTAAACATAATTGTTCCTTTTGAAATACTTTACCTCTTTAGCACCCTTTCGGCCTTTAACAGAGCAAATGGAAAGGCAAAGTCGAGCAGCACGAGGAAGGTCAGGAATGTATATATCATAATTCAGCCATTCATTCCACCTATGTAAAATTTTAAAGAAAAAATAATGTATCAAAAAAAGTCTTCATCCAAAGTATATAAATGACTCCTACAAATCACCAAGAAAAAGATCAACCAAACGACAAACAGGCAAGAGACTGTTTGGAAAGGCACTTTATACGATCATATTCAAATAGTTAAACACGAAAAGGGAGTCATTATTAGTCATACAGAAAATGAAAATCTTATGGAGATATCACTATACATAAGAATGGCTAAACTATAAAGACTGATGATGCCAAGGGGTGGTAAAGTCATGCAGTAATAGGAAATTTCATACACTAAAGAGTATGGGGGTATAATTTGTTACAACCAATTTGGAAAGCATAATCAAATAAAAGTGAGCATATGTATTCCCTGTGACCCAGCTCCAATTCTAGGAATAAAACCACAGAAATGTGTGCATTTGTTAAAAGCAGAAGACATGGGTATTTATTTACTTTGTGACTGAACTATACAACTATGGTTTGTATACTTTTATGCATGTGTGCTATATACGTCACTAAAAAACTTATTTATATTTATAATATATACATAATATAAATACATATTATGAATATATATTATTTATATATATGTAATTTTGCTCATAAAAGTCGAATAGAAAAGGAAAACTAAACAAGGTAAAATGAGATTTCCTATTATGATTATATTTAGTTACTTTCATACATAATATAGTTTTATCCAAAGGAATCCACTAATCTAAATAAATCAGTAGGTAAATAAAGTGATGGATACATAAAGTATTTGAATTGAAGAATAATTATTTTATAAAAGGTAATAAAACTTCGCATTCATAAGGGAAGAATAAAACACTGCTACAAAAAGTGAACAAGATAAAAAAATTATTCAAATTTTAATGACAAATTTCCTCAATTTACTGGGTGCTACATGTGAAATTATGTCTGTCTTTGGTGAACATATTTGTAAAGAACCACATACAATAAATAGTTTTGTATTTTAAAATAACATTACAATAACGGATAGAGTATGGGCTCAGAAATCAGACTGGAGTAGAATCTTATTTCCCCTTTTTCACTAACTGTGTGACCCTTGCTTTGTCTTTTGCCTCCTCTATGAAATGGGACTAATAATAGTACCTACCTTCATAAGGCTGATAACTATCTCATAAAATTAAATGAGATAACACAAGCAAAGGAATTAGAATAGCAACTGGCCCATGATAGAAGCTCATATGTTAGACAGTAACTTTAAAAACTTTTCAAATGTCTTCTTTATCATTCTGGTCTAATCTTGATTATAAATAAAGTAATTCTTAACAATAAAACAGTATAAAAATTCTATTTTTAATTAGCCAAACTACGTAATAAACTTCATCAGTGAAATAAGTTCCATTTATTCTAGTATTTTTGCTCAAGTATGGACAAAGATTATTTAAAATATGGTCTATTTATAGAAAGAAGACACATTTAAAATGGGGAAATTTGGCAAGAATTCTAAAGGTAAAAGAAACAACAAATGTTATTATTATTATTATTTTTTAGAGATAGGGTATTATGTGCCCAGGCTAAAGTGCAGTGGCTATTCACAGGCATGACACAGTGCATTACAGCTTCGAACTCCTGGGCTCAAGCGATCCTTGCCTCAGCCACCCTTAGCCTCCTGAGTATCTGGGATTTCAGATGCATACTACCATGCCCAGTAATAAATAGAATTGTAGAAACACATAGAGAAAAATGTTATGGGACTTAAGTCCACAATGATTTAAAAAAAATTAGGCCGGGTGCGGTGGTTCACACCGGTAATCCCAGCACTTTGGGAGGCCAAGGTGAGCGGATCACCTGAGGTCAGGAGTTCAAAACCAGCCTGGCCGATATGGTGAAGCCCCATGGGTACTAAAAATGCAAACATTAGCTGGGCATGGCGGTGGGTGCCTGTAATCCCAGCTACTCAGGAGGCTGAGGGAGAGGTTGCAGTGAGCTGAGTTTGTGCCATGCACTCCAGCCTGGGTGACAGAGCAAGACTCTGTCTTAAAAAAAAGAAAGAAAAAGTACCAGACTTTTTATTACTCCGAAATCTTTAGAAGTGCTCATAAATTAATAATAAGTGTTCTATACTCTTTCTAAGAGAGCTATGTCCTACCAATCTACTTGTTCAGCCCTATGCTAACAAAATAAAGCATGTTTCTCTTTTCTTCTAAAGTTCATCCATCCCACAACACACAAACACACACACATATACACACGCTCAATTAAGTTCTTTGTTTCTAGAAAATGGTTGTGTGTGTGTATATAGTCCAAATTGATTCTGATTTTGGGAGATACTCATAACATGAAGAAATCATAAAGCATCTAATTTAGCATAAAGGAAGCAGATTTGAAACAAATAGTAAGAATTTTTAAAATCTACTTTTCTATCTTTTTAATAACTTCATATTCACTTATCTGATTTTTTTTGTCAGCACAGAAAAGTTTAAGAAGTTTACTTACATTTTCACACTACTACCATAAATACTTCACCTTTTAGACTACAGAATGCTTAAAGACAAATACAGACCCTTCTAAATAGCTATTTTACTAAAATTTCAACATTTTAATCATATATTATTAAACAAATTTATCTTTTACTTTTTTTTTTTTGAGTCAGGGTATCACTTTGCCCCCCAGACTGGACTGCAGTAGTACGATCATGGCTCACTGCAGTCTCAACCTCCCTGGGCTCAGGTGATCCTCCCACCTCACCCTCCTGGGTAGCTGGGACTATAGTTACACACACCACGATCCCAGGCTAATTTTTTGTATTTTTGGTAGACTGTGTTTTACCATGTAGCCCAGGGTGGTCTCAGACTCCTGGGCTCAAATGATCCATCTGCCTTGGCCTCCCGAAGTGTTGGGACTATAGGCATGAGTCACCACGCCCAGCCTATCTTTTACTTTTATAAAGCTAGTTTAACTTTTGGTACGTGAAACAGCTAGCTAGGATAATTCTATCCAGTATTATTCTGGGGTCTTTGCTTGGGGCTTGTTGAACTCCTTGGATTGATAGGTTTATAGTTTTTACCAAATATGAAAAAATTCTGGCTATTGTTTTCTAAAATGTTGTTTTTCTTTTCCTCCTACAACCACCCCACTAATCAGTGTGAGGCATACGGTATGAGTGGGATATAAACTCTTGTTTTGGCAAGAATTTAAAAAGATCCTGGCCGGGCATGGTGGCTTATGCCTGTAATCCTAGCACTTTGGGAGGCCGAGGTGGGTGAATCACCTGAGGTCAGAAGTTCAAGACCAGCCCGGCCAACATGGTGAAACCACTCTCCACCGAAAATACAAAAAAATTAGCTGGGCGCAGTGGCACGTCCCTGTAGTCCCAGCTGCTCGGGAGACTGAGGTAAGAGAACTGCTGAAACTTGACTGTACTCCAGCCTGGGCCACAGAGTGAGGCTTCGACTCAAAAAAAAAAAAAATCCTGAAGTTGTTTGTTGTCACAATCTCATTTCTGACCTGAATGATATGCTTTTTGACCTACAATGGTTTATGCAGGCTGAGGAACTATCTTCCTTCCCTGTGGCAGACAAGGCTACCATCTCTTTGAACTTTACGTAGGCTCTAGAAGGGTGGCAATCTTTAGCAACAAGACCAGAACTTTTTCTTGAATGTCTTAGAACTCAGTCTAACTTCATTATGAGATTTACTTCAGGAGGAGTCACTAGTTAGCTCTATTGTTATTTTATTATAAAGTCCAGTAACAATTTGAGTTATCTTGAAATATTACTGCTATTATATTCAGGGGTACTCTTATTCCAAAATGAATCTATAGAGAGAAGCAAAGAAATGCAGGATAGTGAGCTATTGGATTATACTACTTTTTATTTCTTCATCACATCCAGGCAGTAATAATTTAAAATCCTCCCCATAACTCCCTCTCCCCCTAATAAATTAATTTGCTCCCAAAGACCCTTTATTTGAATGTCATAAATATCTATTCTTGGGAGTGATTTGAAGGAAACTGCCTCGGGGTAGTTTGGTTATGGAGTTGTTTGCCAACTCTTACTTCTCCTTCATGTGAATGATGATGGAGACAGGAAAAGAATAAAATGCTAGGTTTTTAATCTAATGTGGGGAATCATTAGCATAAAATTGTAAGCATACTCTGCTCTCTCTTTGATACAATGAAAAGAGACAATCAGAAACTATTCTGATAAAACTTTAGACAGAATCAATAAAATAATCCTGTGACTGATACTCATTTGACAGAAAGTCTTGCTGGTCTATATATACATTTCTGGTTAATTTATTAAAATATAGCTTGTATAAAGCTAATGATGAAGTATAAAAAATATACTTTTTTTTTTTGAGATCAGATCTCACTAAGGCTGGAATGCAGTGGCACGATCATAGCTGACTGCAGCCTGGAACTCCCAGGCTCAAGCAATTCTCCTGTCTCAGCCTCCCTAATTCCCTAATGGCTGGGACTACAGGCACGTGCCATTGTGCCTAATTTTTTTTTTTTTTTGAGATGGAGTCTCGCTCTGTTGCCCAGGCTGGAGTGCAGTGGTGTGATCTCAGCTCACTGCAACCTCAGCCTCCCAGGTTCAAGAGATTCTCCTGCCTCAGTCTCCCGAGTAGATGGGATTACAGGCACCCACCACCCTCTGGCTAATTTTTTAAATTTTTGGTAGAGTTGGGGTTTCACCATCTTGGCCAGGCTGGTCTCAAACTCCTGACCTTATGATTCACCCACCTCAGCATCCCAAAGTGCTAGGATTACAGGCGTGAGCCACCGTGCCTGGCCGGTGCCTAGCTAATTTTTAAGAAAAACTTGTTGTAGAGATGGGGTCTTGCTTTGTTGCCCAGGCTGGGCTAAAAAAAATACTACTTTTATTGATCACACTGCTAAACACTAATATAACCTTTGGAAATATAAGTCTATATACTTCCTCACCTGGGATTGGAACAAGGTACTCTTTGAGTGTTCACATTGTCACATAAGGGTTCTCCTCCATGGTAGATACCTGTTCGAACATAGATCTAAAAGAAAAAGGTATGTATTTACTAATGTATACACTCAACATACACATATGCACACACTAGATAGAATCAAATATAAAACCACGGAATTTTTGTTCAGATCTAGCTTGGGCTCTCCTTTTCTTCACATATATAATAAGTTAATACTGATGTAGAGTCTTCACCAAAATTAGTTGCTGCCTTCATCCACTAATAACAATGGAGACGTCAGACTACTAAAACATAAATATAGGTCCACAATCCCTTTAAGGCAGGTATGTAATTCAGAGCTTCCATATTTTAGAAAGCTAAATTAGTAAACGTACTTACTAAATACTAGTTCCTTAGCTGATGAAGCAGTACCTCATAAAGACATTAATATTTCTTTAATAAGATACATGAATATTTATACTAAGTGGGGTTAATAAAGATTATAAAAACCCTCACTTGGCCGGGCGCGGTGGCTCAAGCCTGTAATCCCAGCACTTTGGGAGGCCGAGACGGGCGGATCACGAGGTCAGGAAATCGAGACCATCCTGGCTAACACGGTGAAACCCCGTCTCTACTAAAAATACAAAAAACTAGCCGGGCGAGGTGGCGGGCGCCTGTAGTCCCAGCTACTCCGGAGGCTGAGGCAGGAGAATGGCGTAAACCCGGGAGGCGGAGCTTGCAGTGAGCTGAGATCCGGCCACTGCACTCCAGCCTGGGCTACAGAGCAAGACTCCGTCTCAAAAAAAAAAAAAAAAAAAACCCTCACTTAAGGTTGGCTCAGGTCTTTCTGCCAAATGAATTCTGTAAAACTTTTGATTTTAAGAACTAGAATTGTGAATATTAGAATTATTAACAAAGGACTGTGAGCTGTATAATAGCTAAGGTAGATGGAAGCTCAAGTAAAATTCATGATATATTTTTACATTCGGAGATTTGGGTGTTCTCCTAACCATCTGAAAACATACTACAGGTCAACAGATTACTGCACAGTTCAAGAAAAAGGTTATATAAAATAAATTCTATAAAATAATAAGCATTAGCATTTGACTTTACCTTATCAATGTCTCGAATATTTACATTCACGTAGGTTGCACAAAGAATTTTTATTCTGAGTGCACTATTTATAACCCAAAGGGATTTTGTAGATGTTTCTCCATTCATATATGGTGTAGCTGTGGAAATGCGTCTGGAATAAGATGGCATTGTAAAACAGTCCATTGGCAGTTGAGAATAAAGGCTTTCTTTAGCCATCAACATCAAATTGGGCATCCTCCCAAGCATTATACAGCTTCTTATATACTGTAAGAGATTAAGAGGGCAAGCCATTTCCTGTAAGATTTTTCATTTTAAAAGTAACATGTAAGAGTATTATGAGAATGTACATATTAATCTGCAAAGGCGATAAACATTATAGACCACATTTATTAGTAGTTGCTATAACATTTAAAATACTAACATTTAGGATTTAGGTTGAAGCACAAGATCAACCAAACACTTCTGAATATAAATTGCATAAAGAAAAAAATTAAGGTCAACTTTTGAAACTATAGTTCTACCCTTAACTGGAGGCCAAAAAAGGAATTAAAAACAAGGATCATGGGATACTCATTATGAAAACATTGTATTTGGTAACAGAAAAGCAGTATCACTTAGGACACCTCTGTCATTCAATCTATTAAGTCATATTGATGTCCCATCCAAAGGCTGCTGTTCACTTGCTTTTTTGTCCAAACGTACTGAGAAACATTAGTTTTGCTAAAATTAAAACAAAAAAAACACAAATAGTGGAGACCAGTAATATTATGGATAAATATTTACAAAAAATACTAAATACACTGGTCTGAATTTCGAAATGGTAGTTAGGATAGAGATTTTTAATATAAATGTTACTGTATACGCATTATTTTCCTACCCGTAAGCCCCACTAGACAATAAGCAACCTGAAGGCCAGGACCAAGTTTTATTTGGTATTGTAAATTAGTACTTGACATATGCTTGGCACAAACATAGTTGCTTCTTATAGGTATTTATTTAATAAATAGAAAAAGAGAGTAGGAAAGTACCAATAGAATATCTTAACAGTAGGTCATGGATTTTTTGAAATGTCTATTTCAATCCATTCCAGGGTCACTGGTTGGAGGGGATAAAAATCACGAAATAGGCTGGGCATAATGGCTCATGCCTATAATCCAAGCACTGTGGGAGGCCGAGGTGGGAGGACTGTTTGCGCCCAGAATTAGAGACCAACCTGGGCAATATAATGAGACTTTGTCTCTACAAAAAAAAAAAAAAAAAAAAAGAAAAAAATTTGCTGGGCATGGTTGGTGGCACATGCATGTGGTCCCAGCCACTTAGGAGGCTGAGGTGAGAGGATTGCTTGAGCCTGGGAGGTTGATGCTGCAATGAGCCATGATCATACCACTGCATTCCAGTCTGAGAGGCAAAGCGAGACCCTGTCTCAAAAAACAAACAAACAACAACAACAACAACAAAACCCATGAAATAGCTATATTTGGGAGCTAGAGTAACTGCCAACATTTTCAGCCTCTCAAATGAATTAATCACAGAATTAAAAGAATAAACTTACAAATGGTATTTACTAATATTACTTATCAATAAGTATATTCTAAAAATACAGATACTTGGTTGGGCACGGTGGCTCATGCCTGTAATACCAGCACTTTGGGAGGCCAAAGCGGGTGCATCATGAGGTCAGGAGATCAAGACCATCCTAGATAACACGGTGCAAACCCTGTCTCTACTAAAAATACAAAAAATTAACCAGGTGTGGTGATGCGCGCCTGTAGTCCCAGCTACTCGGGAGGCTGAGGCAGGAGAACGGTGTGAACCTGGAAGGCGGAGATTGCAGTGAGCCAAGATCATGGCACTGCACTCCAGCCTGGGCGACAGAGCGAGACTCCATCCTCGCCTCAAAAAAAAAAAAAAAAAAAAAAAGATACTCATCCTCAATGTGATTACTTTTTAAATTAAAAATTAGTATTTTGAAACTTGTTACTCACCTTATACTGACTCAGAGGATATTTTTCTAGGAAGTATTCATCACATCCACACACTTTTAAAATATACTTGCCCTGATATTCTAAAACACAGAGTTTTAGCTGTTCAGAGGATAGCAACATACTTCGAGTTTTTTTCCTGATTGCTTCAGCAATTACTTGTTCTGGTACACAGTCATGGTTGATTTTCAGAGTATACTTCTGCTTGTCATTATTTGGAGAAACTATTACCCAAATCACCACTATTATTTGCCCTATAACAGGAAAACATTATTAGATGCAATCACCATATCTCTTTCATTTTTCAAGGGAAAAATTTCAACAAGTGTGCACTATCATTACTTCATCCATATCAGAAATGCTTTTTAATCAGCCCAATTAAAACTAGGTAAGTATCAGTAGAAATAGAAAATGTTCATATCTGAGCGGGCTGCCAGACCATTCCCAACTCTCATGTTTTATGACAAGCACACAAAACTGTGACAAGTGGGTCACAAGTATCTGAGACCAAACTAATTTCCATTCTAAACTGTATGACATTACTGCATGGGTACTGCCCCTGTGAACAGTGATTCATGATGGTATCAAAGGTTCGACAGTGCCTAAGGTGAGTTTCTGGTAACCATGGGAAGTAAAGAAAGAACCAACGGAGGCTTAAAGATGTTGAATTAGAATGACAGAAAATGTGAGGGAGGAAAGGTAAGAAAATCAAGAGGGGAGAGGAAATGGATTGTCTAATTTTCTCCTTTTAAGATTAACTAAGCCAAGTGGCCAACAAAAAGAAAAGAGAAAGATGGAGAAAATGGGAAGACAAACTATGTAGAGAGGCTTGGGTGTTCACAGTAAATTTCTTTCAAGTTGTCTATATGTTGAAAATTTTTCACAAAAAATGCTGGGGAAAATGAAAAAAGCATTTCACTTAAAAATATATGCTAGAATAGAATTTTGAAAGATCTTATGTTGCATTAAACTACTTTGAAAAATATGGATAAAATAGTAATAAGATGTCTTAACTTAAGTCTACTGATAGAATTTGATATTTAATAGTGTGTGTGAGTTAACTCAAACTGATAATTTTACTTTGTTACCCTCAAAAATACAGACATTTATCTGATTCAATGACATGTATTTCGAAAACAATATAGTTTATATAGTTTCCTGTTCACTTAATTTAGAAACTGATACATTAAATGTCAAAAATCTACCTATATATTATCACTCATGATCAGAATTACTGCATTTAATATTTAGGAAAATTACTTATTTTTTTCTGGTGTATTTATGATATGTAACAACAAGAATGTATAAAGTTCTCCCAAAATTTCATGAAATGTTTCTATTTATACTTGTTTTTATTTATGAAAAGATAATCAGCTCTAATTCTGAATCCTAAAAAACAGTAAATTTCAAACTCATACTTCTTCCGCTTTATAGACAATTTACCAAGAAATCAGTATCATATTCATACAAAAATTCAACCAATAAATATTGATTGTACACAATTTGTACTTAGCACTCAACTATGTCTTGTCAGTATAAGCAGTCCCTGCCTTCAAGCAGCTTACTATCTAGCTGGAAAAAAAAAAAACAAAAAAGACTATACAAAGATTTAGGCACAGGTAGAAGACTGCACTATAGTAACGATTAGAGTAGATTAGTCATTTTCTTACCTTTATCTAATTTATTATATATGTGCTTTGGCAATTCTGGCGAAGATTCTACATTTGGAGGATAGACATACATTGCTCTACTATGAGGTGAATTGAGATCCCTAAGATCCACAGCTTCTTTACAAACATTCAGAATATTTCTTCGGAAGTCCTGTACTTCTGGATCTTTAACCATATCAAATTCACACACTGGCATGCCAATAGCAAAACCTTTAATAAAATTACATAAAGAATATAACATTCTATTACATACATAGTATGAACATGTTTTTTTACAAACAGGGAACTCTGTAGATTTGGAAGATCACAACAGAGTAAAAAAAGTACCTCTAGGTGAAAAAAAATTTTTGATGAATGCATATATATTAAGAGTTGATAAAGTCCCAAATATTTTTAATACATAAAAAATAATATATTCAGCAATTTAGAGCAAAGGCAGCAAACATTCCTATCAATCATTTTTAAAAGAATAACAAAATTGAGATATAACAAATCTAAGTCATCCTCCAAATGATATTTCTTAAATAAAACCTTATGGAATAATATCAAGGTGTTAAAAATAGTTCCATAGTTCGATAGTAAAACATACTTTAGATTTATAATGATTTTTATTTAGAAAGCTATTTAAGATTACAAAGGGATTGGTTTAAACAGAAATATTTTAGTAAGAGACAACAGTTAAGGTTCATAGTGATTTGCATTTTAGAATAGGATACTGTATCATACCAATTTCTCGATTGAGGATCTTTTCTTCACGGTTGCCTACTGGTTCAATTACTTTTAAAAAGGGTTGAAAAAGCCGAAGGTCACAAAGTCGTCTTGTTTCATCAAAAAATTCTTCCCTTTCTGCTTCTTGGGTAACACTTACGAAAATGTAAGAAGATTCATCTTGAAGAAGTTGATGGAGGGGGTATTTTCTTGCTTCTTTAAATAGTTCATGCTTTATGGTTATTAATGTAGCCTCACGGAGGCATTCTAAAGTCACTATCATTCCATTTGGTAGTAAACATTCTACTAGGATTCTTGGGGGCATCAAGTGGATGCCCCACAGTTCACCTGATGATGGTCGTGGAGGCATTGTTCTGATTTTTTGCAGGTTTTACATATAAAACTACTTTAAAGAATTAGACGTATGGTTGTCCCAAAGCAGAAACCTAAATCAAAGAAGGAAAACGTAAGTTAAAAGAGATACAACTATAGAATACATTTGTAAAATTGCTAAAATGTAAAAACTAATTTTCCATGGTTTGATGTGATTAGGCTAAGTAGTAATAATTCATCTTAAATATTTTAATCGAGACTGTTGCTCTAAATTAGGCTATAAAGAATTTATTTCAGCAGAGATTAGAAAAACCACTTGTATTTAATTAAATTTAATAAAGTCATTTAAGAAAACATTATATATATTTGAGTGGATTTTCTAAGTCAGGTTTCATCAAGCCAGAGATAAGGCTATGGGAAGAATGAAAAGTAAGCTGCAATTCAACCCAAAATTCCCGTTGCATATCACCTTTATTATTCTCTTCTATCTTATGGAACAACAGAATTTAGGCCAGAAAGAATCTTTTAGATCATGGGTCCACTGCTCTTATTTTAAAATAAGTAAAACCATGCCTAGAGAAGTCAAATCCTTTTCCTTTTTCACTCTCTGCCCTCATTTCACTCTCTGCCTCATGTAATAATGAGAAATTTTATGGCTTAGTCTTTTCTTTCTTAAATCAATCTTTGTAATTTTCCTTTTTCTTTTTGTGTTGATTCTTATCTAGGTGATATCTTAGACATTCTGTTCTTAAAGTATGATTTAGGTATATATTCACAATATTAGAAAGTGTCATCAATGATTTTTCCTTGAAGTATGAGGATGAATTTGTAATGATCTACCTACTTTCTCAAATAACCCAGTCCTAACACTTCTGACTGAAATGAATCTACACGTAAATAAGATCCATGACTCTCTTTGTCAGTGCCATGTTCCAATCAGTTTGTAATATTTTAAAAACTATTAAGTATTAATTATGAGTTGAAGGCCCTTAATTTTTTAAGACATCAACAATCCTGGGGGTCTTTTAGAAGATATTATCAAAATCCATAAAACACAAGTTTACTTCTTGCTGTTTATATTTTCTTTTATTCAGTGAGTGAAACTGTAAGAGTATATCAAAAGGCAAAGTGAGAGATACCAAATAAGAAAAAAAAGAAAGTTAAGCTACAGAAATGAATCAAAAAGGCCCAGATAATCTACTATATTTGATTAGTCTATCAGGACTTGTAGGTAACAGCTATAAATGACACTGCTTATGCACCAAAAGTGCATTGGTGCTATCCCCAGGACTATGTTGGGTGTGGGAATCGAATGATGAATAATATAGACATGGCCCTTGCCTTCACAAGACAAAGCAAAGAATATGAAGATTATGTGTATGCTGTGTGTGGGGTAATTAAATTCACACTTACAAAACAGAATAAATGCTATCCTGGAGAAGTGCCAGGTTCTATAAAAGCACATAACACGGTCATCAAGTTTGGGGTGGGAAGGTTTCCCATAGTAGGTAACATAAACTTAATCCTTTAAAGATAAGCGGCCAGGCGCAGTGGCTCACATCTCTAATTTCAGCACTTTGGGAGGCTAAGGCGGGTGAATCACGAGGTCACGAGTTCGAAACCAGCCTGACCAACATGGTGAAACCCCGTCTCTACTAAAAATACAAAAATTAGCTGCATGTGGTGGCACATGCCTATAATCCCAGCTACTCAGGAGGCTGAGGCAGGAGAATCGCTTGAACCTGGGAGGCAGAGGTTGCAGTGAACCTAGATAGCTCCACTGCACTCCAGTCTGGGTGACGGAGTGAGACTCCATCTCCAAAAAAAAAAAAAAAAGGTAAGAGTAGAACAAACACAAGAAAGAGGAGAGGAAACCTGCCATCCCTTACTCCTCTCTCCATCTCACACCAATCAACATCTAACCCATGAACAAGCTTCATTAATTCTCTATTCTGTCTACACTCTTTCAAATACCACTCTGTGGTATTTGGGCTGGTCATCACTATTTCTTTTCTGGACCACTGCAAAGGCCTAAATGGTCTCCCCGAATCTATGCCTGCCCCCTATAATCCATCTCCCCTCATAGCCAGAGTGCCTTAAAGAGAGCGAGAGGGCCTAATTTGATTATACATTTATGCTGTACCAATTCGTGGTTGCAAACAAATAATTATGGTATGCTTCAGAGTTATAACATATAAAGGATGTGAAGAGTAGGAATAGCAGAAATTTTTAGCCTTTTTCCCACCCACAGAAATACAGAAATTAACTGGAAACAATGAAGAATGTAAGAAAATTATTTTTTGATAGTTCAAACTATTTTTCTTCAAACTTATAAAAGAGATCCACTGAACTTATAATATTTAAAATAATTGTCCTATTTCCTACATGTAAAAAATTTCATTGGCTAGTAAAAAGATCAGATGGATCAATCTGTATGAACAATTATAGAAGTGACTTACATTTTTTTAAACCTACAAAAAATTTGAAGAATGCAAGGGAAAACGCCAAATGACTACTTTTAAATGACATGCCTGCATAAAAAAGTTCAAATGAAAACAAAACCAAAACCACAAGCCACACAAAAACAGCAGCTGTGTTTATGATTTTTCTCTGCTGAATGGCACTGACAGGTCTCTATTATGGAACTACTGGAGCAACTATTTTATATAATAAACAACAACCCACAGGGAACCCTCATATGTTCCCTAAGTATTACTAAGAAAGAAGCCTAGTTAGTATAGTAGACAGATCACTGGTTTTATTCCTTATTCTACAGTAGTATATTTATGGGTAATTAACTATTAAATACTCAAGACACACCCTTTTCATTAAGAGAATAAATGTGATTATGGTAATAAAACACTTGTTGATCCTGGAAGGCAGGCACGGGTTGACATTCTGGTAGACAGAATGACAGCCTTTTTATTTGTCAGATGGTTATTTGTCTTCTCATGCCAGGTCTTATTCTGTACAAACCATTACCCCCGGGTTCACATAAAGTGTAGAAGTGGCAAATGGAACTAACATTTGTTTTTTGAGTATGTACCATGTACTTGGGTGGGCAGTAACTCTATTGAGGAAGATTTTACATATGAGAAAACTGAAGATCAGAAGTGAAGTCACTTGCCTCCAATACATGGATTTTGAATCCAGGTCTAGATTATTTTAAAGCCCATACTATAACCATGCTGTTATTTGGGTTTCAGTTATGGCCAGGCAATATTCACCAGTAGTGAATAAGAGAATGAGCTCTAATTTGAATCTACACTAGATTCAAATTTTGGCCACCTTAGTCACTAGTTGTATGGCCTTGGGTAGTTTAGTTCATCTCATTGAATCTCATTTATCCCATTTGTTAAATTGGGATAATAATGGCATCTACTTCATTGAACTGTTGTGAAGATAGATGAGGTGATATATGAAAAATACATAAGCACAGAGATCAGCACACAGTAAGCACTTAATAAATGTTAAACATTAGTAATAAACTTGTAAAGTATTACCAACATTATCTTTTCAAGCTTATTAGGAATTATACACTGCTGGCACCAGATGGGGTAAGAAAAGGTTTTCGGAATTTTTTTTTTTTTTTTTTTAACCAAGAAGGCAAGTAAATAAGGAGCTTCATAAAGAAGTTATATTTCAAGTGCTAATACCTGAAGGTAGCAAGGCTCACACACAAGCCTGGAAGAGTACCGAGTGGCTCAGATGCCAGTGCTTTCCCAGCTGCTTCCAGTTCCCCAGATTCCCAGGATTCCTATTGAAATGTTATAGCTATCTACAGCTTAGGTGTCGGGAATCCCTTGTTATCTCTCTCTACCCTGTTTTTGTTGAGAAGTACCTGCTTAATGTCAGTCTCAAGGCTAAGTATGGTACAAAAACAAAGGTTAAAAAGATGCTTTCCCTTCTGCAGTTAAGGGCCTCATAGTTTACTGGGGAATGACTTTAACAATGTGATAATTGTTACAAGATAGAATATGAACAATGGAAAAGCCTGAGGAGATTAGGGAAGGCTTCAGAGAGGTAAAGTTTCAGTTGAATATTATAGATTAAAAATTTCACAGAGAGGGTATGGCCTGAACGTAAGAGAGCCTATAGAAGGGTGTTCTAGATTGCCACAAGAGAGTGTGTATAAAGTCAGACCATGAAAGAATGCGGCCTGTTCCTAGCAATACAAGCTATTTTTATTACTTGAGTCTAAAGTGCATGGGAACAGGTGGAGTATGTGACAAAGAAGGAGAGGTGAAAGGTAGGTAGGGGCCAGATGTAAAAACATGTTAGAGTTTGAATTTTATGTTGTACACTGTTAGTAAAAAGAAGACTCTGGGCTGGGGGCTGTGGCTCACACCTGTAATCCCAGCACTTTGGGAGGCTGAGGCAGTAGGATCGCTTGAGCTGAGGAGTTCCAGACCAGCCTGGACTCAAGACCCCATCTCTACAAAAAAAAAAAAAAAAACACAAACAAAGTAGCCAGGTGTGGTGGTACATGCCTATGGTCCCAGGTACTCAGGAGGCTGAGGTGGGAAGATCTAAAGCCTGGGAGGTCAAGGCTGCAGCAAGCCATGATGGCGCCACTGCATTCCAGCCTGGGCAAGAGCGAGACCCTGTCTCCAAAAAAAAAAAAAAAAAAAAAAGTCTCTTAAGTATTTCGAGCTAAAAATGACATGATGCTTTTAAAATGATTTTTAAATTCTCTCAGATTTCTTTAAAAATTGCTTTTCAAGTGTAGGTTATAATCAAATGAACATTAAAGTGTAAAAATTACATATTCTCAATTGTCTAGAGAAAAATCCCTAAAATTAAGAAATCAGAATATATAACATTTTAAATAAAAGGGCCTTTAGACTACAGAAAAAATTAAATACTGATAAAGAAGATGGAATTATTAAATTTAAAGCAATAGAGGGGGATAAATCACTATAAAATTATGCAATCCTAATGTAGTTTGGAGGTTTGAGGTCACAGAATTAAAAACGTATTTACTAAAAATAAAACACTTTAAGGGTCAAGAAACCAGTCTATTGAGGTTTTGAGTTCAGAATGCCAGGACTAAACATTCATATGCATATTGACAAATCACTACTATCTGGAAGTCTTAAGAGTAAATAAACTG